TCTTTAGTTTGTCAAACTAACCTCTTCTCTTCCCTTCCTAGGGATAGCCCCATAGTTGCTGTGGAGGTCCTGAAATCAGTGAGGCATGTAAGTCACACTGGACAATAATCTTGGTGACTCTAGCCCTAAACAAGAGCTTAATCTGTAACTCCGCTGCCTAGCCAGTACACCACCAAAATTACTAAAATTATCTCGGTCCCAGGGCTTTCATAGATGCATATGTAACTGGTGCTTCCTCAGTGTGGCTCTGTTCCCCTCTAGTGGCTGGACCACATAGAGGTTCATGAGTCTGCCTTTTAGCTAACAGTCTTTTAGCTCAGACAGTAGAAGCTTGTGCATTTAGCTCAACAGTCCCAGGTTCTATCCTTATTGCCAGTGGCCCACCAAGGGACTCCACATTACACACTCAGGCCGGGGTGTCAGCACTGCACGTGGGGATCCAGCACTGAAGGACCAATGCAGCAGGTAGCAGCTCCTCTGCTGAGACTCCAGCCTGGCCCCTAGGGGCAGCTACTGCTGGAGTTCTGGGACAGGGGTTCCTCTCCTTGTGCGCTCAGTTGCTGCAGCTTCTGGGGAGAGGAGGCACTGGCCACGTCTGGAAGCAGCAGCACAGGATCGGGCCCCTTTCCACGTAGCTTTGTGTGTGCATGAGAAGAGAAGCAGAGGGGATGTACAGGGGCTGTGAGTGTGTTGGTAGTGGGGCAGAAGGGGAATGAGTGGATTGGGTATGGGAATGCTGATGAATTTGTTGTGTGGGTTGTGGATGGCAAGGCTGTGTTGGAGTGATGGGTAGTGGACCCACTTAGAAGTGTTAATTGAGATATTATCCACAAATTATGTCCTGGACTCTAACAAAGCAGTCTTTGGCACTAGGCACCCTCTCGGGCTAATATTAGATGCAAAAAACCACTCCGTCATCCCAGTTCCTTAGCCTGGTGTTCCCGTTGGACCGAGTACTTCACTGGAGAGACTACATGGCCACAGGGAAGGTGGAATCTCCTTGCTCGATTTGGGTAATACAGGTCTCATCTATAACTAAACCAGGGATGATGTTGCACTGAACAGCATGAGCTGTAGGTTACAGCGGTTTTTAGTCACTCTCAATGACCCTAGTTTGCATCTCATCCTGTTAAATGTAAGTCCTTGGTTAATAAAGAGCGAAGAGATCACGCAGTCGGTGCACTCTGCCCCTGCTGGCTTGTATTTCATTGAGGAAACCAAGACAAAGCAAGGTCACTGAGTAGCTCTAAAGGATTTGATTGAGTTATTCAGCAAATGTTGGAAGATGGGCTTCTTCACTCAATGTTTCTTTCATTTTTTCCACTTAGAGGCATTCATCAATGCTGGCTCTTTGTTTAACAGAGCTAGTTAAGTTATCTTTTTCCACATTCCATGTACTTAGTTGTGCATTCAGCTCTTCATCCTGTAGTTTCTGTGCCCACTGCTTCATTTTTTCCAATTAGTTTCATGGTCATTGCTTCTCTAAGATGAGATGCTAAGGGCCAGATTCCTCTCCTGGTTACACTGGTATAAATCCAGAATAACAATTTGTGTCATTCAGGATTTATGCTAGTGTCCTTGTTTACTTGAATTCAGAATTTGAATTTTTTCAATGGCCCCTGTCATTCTTTCCATACCTAATGGCTTGGTGATGCTGAACACCAGGCAACAGATTGGATTGTCTTTGCAGAGTGTTTGCTGTTATTTCACCTTCATGTAACTGATTTAGAACAAGTCAAATTGATAGTTCCCTGATAGCAAGGAAGAGGGGTTGTTCCCAGATCCGTGTGTCCATTTTAGGCCTGTCTACTCAAGGAAATTAGGTGGGTACAAACTGTCACTCGGGGTGTGAAAAATCCACACCCCAGCGTGTTGCAGTTAAGTCAACCCTAACCCCTGGTGTAGACGCCACTAGGTCGACAGAAAAATGACATAGCTACCGCCTCTTGGGGAAGTGGATTCCCTATGCCGACAGGAGAACCTCTCCTGCCAGGGTAGCCAACATCTGCACTGAAGAGCTAGGGTGGCCCAGCTGTGCCACTGCAGTGTTTTAAGTGTAGACGAGTCCTTAGGATCCTAGTTAGGTTGTAGGAAAGGTATAAACGCCTCCTTTCCCCCCTTTTTCAGAGACAACACATTAGCTAGTCAGTTTTCTGTTTAATCTGGGAATGATTGAGGACTGAAAAGCCAGTTTAACATTTTCACAGTACTGTATAGTCAGACTTTTTTTTTTTTCTTTGGTGAAATCTTAAAAATTAGGTTTTTTGCATAAGATTTCTGGCTCACAAGGATTTGATCCTTGACCGCCTGATGAAGAATGTGACATTTCATGCACAGGTACAGACACCTTGGAGCATATGCCTAAACCTACTGGTAGCTCAGTTCTTCATCCAGGGTCATATAGCTCCAGTGCAATTTGTACACAGTCCTTTTTTTGACTCTCCCATGCCCAGGTAATTTGGGGCAAGCTAGTAGCCTTTGAGTAAAGCAGACCAAATGACCCCGGTGTAGTACTACCTAGCCCCAAATTGAACACAAGGGGAGAGATGACCCAGTGTGGTACAGCTGGCATAAGCAGCCCAGGGAGCATGGAAGGGTGATTCTGTGCTGGTGTAGGAGCTCTTATGCTACTCCTTTGCCCTGTGCCAGCATAGCATGATGTGGCTGGGATGCCCCTATGATATATCAGTTATTGGCTTTGATTTCATCCACTTATGTTGGCATAAAATAGAGCAGCCCCAGGCTCAGTTTACCTGTTGGGGAAGGGCTGTTTGGGAGTCCCTCCTAAGTAGGACGTTTTTTCACCAAGAAAGTGCTGGATAGGTGATTCATGGCTTGGGTTTTCCCAGTGGTGGTGCCCTTGTGTAGTCGGTCCTGATGAATAGGAGAGAATGCTAAGGACAGGAACGTGGTGCTTTAATATAGTTGCTTGAAAATCCAAGTTGACGTGCATGTATCTTTATTTCTTAATCATGTGTTAGCATCGACGGCATTGTACACCATACATCTACTGACATCTGGTGGCATGTTGTAGCAGAAAACCTGTTAGGTTTTTTTTTAAAGACTACATTTGTATGGCCTGCGTTTTGTTTAGTTTAGCTGCCCTGTAGTTATTTTTGCACACTGTGGCTTTTAAAATTAACTTCTTATTGAAAGTCAAAAGATTGAAGCGCTTTTAAAGAATGTCAGACAAATCCAGCTTACAGTGGGACAGATAATGATACTGCAGTGTTCATGCAGCGGTAACATTTCATTTCCATTAGGATGTTTTTAAAAACATTTTTTTAAAAGAGATACCAGGTAAAATAGTGCTTAAATACCACAGTGAAAGAGAACTGAGCTATACCTGATAGACTACAGTACAGGTGTATTTAGTAAAACTTTGGGAGGTGGTTTTCCTACGTAGTCTTATTCACACAGCAAAAAGAAGATGAAAGAACCACATATGAAGATGAGAGAACCACATTTTCAGCAAAGCTTTGGAATTTGTTTTTGAGAACACAACATCATGCCTTTAAATGGAGGTAGTGCTCTGTTTTCATGCGTTATGAAATTACACAACTACTGTGTCATTTCAATGTGTGTTTAAAGCAGCTATTTGTGTTAAAGATAGGCATTTTTAGTGTTATTTTAGCCACCTAAGGCTACAGGTCAGATTTATTGTATATAGTTTGCTCAAGCCTTCAATATTCCCTCATATACATTTTACAGATACGTACAGCACTCATTCATGAAAAGAAAAATACACTCATCTACTTCTGTTTATAAAGTGTTTCTAGGATAGATTTTGACACACACGTGGTCAGTTCAAGCTCCATGTACAGAATTTGGCCTTTAATGAGAGGTTTTCTATTCATTAGGTTGATAATGAACAGTGGCGCAAACCCCATTTCATTTACGCTGATGCCAATAGTCTATGCCAGTGGTTCTCAACCCACAGCCCACAGGCTGCTTGCAGCCCAATCAGCACACAGCTACGGCCCATGTGACATCCTCAGGGCCATACAGGTAGTATATATATATGTTGTGTGGAAGCGGCCCACATAACACATAGAGAGCTGCAAATGCGTCCCACAATAGTAAACAGGTTGAGAACCACTGGTCTATGCAGTAGTCCTAGCATTATATAACTGAGATAGAACTTGGCCTGTCATGTCATCAGATTTCTGCTGGTTTGGGGGCTGATCTTATAGTTCTTGTTCACTACAAATTTCCCATTGCCAACTCCCACTGGTTTTAATTTTAGGCCCTAATTCTCAAATGTGTTCACTACAAATCAGCGAAGTCTAGGTATGAACTACATTTGAAAAATAGATTCTTATAAAGAAATTATGTACGGACTGTAATACTGCTGTTTGCTGAAAGATATCCTAATGGTCAGTGGAATGTTTTACTTTTTAAGGATGAAAACTGGAAAGAGAGCATGATGGAATATGTAACAGGCAGCTAGATTTGGTTAGTTAGTTAGTCACATAACACACGTGCTGTGCCTCCCTGTGGTCTGCTATAGATTATTAATATTTTGCTTCATTTCTGTTCTAAAATAGAACCCAGTTAAATATGTCATCACATATTGTATAATGTTGCTTAGGAATAGCTAATATTGCCAACAGCAGCTGAAAGAGATTTATATTTATACAGTCTATAAATAGAGAGCTTAATAAATCAATCAGTGGGCAGCTTTCCTTTGCTGGCAATAAGCTGTTTTAATGGCACTACAGATGCAGCATTTATGTAGCTGGGGAAAAAATGGGAACCGGCATGACTTTGTTTATTGAAGAATAAAATATTAATGTGTAATATGCAGTTTGGATGCTGGCTCTCTCTTACAAGGGAGTGTTGGAAGAGAGTTTTATAAGTCAGGTTCTCTACTTTTTGTATATTTGCGTGAAAAGGAGAAAAGCTTTTCCTTTGAGACAGGCATGCCCAGTGATTAGGTTGGCCTGCTATCCCCCTTTGTTTTCCATAGCTGAGTGCCTGCGTGTTTTCTTGTCTTTCAGCAATGGGGAGAAGGACTTGGATCCATCATCCATAACTTTAGAGCTAACAACGTCAGTCCAATGACATGCCTCAAGAAACAGTAAGGCTCTTCCCTCCCTGTTTTTCCTCCTGTGTGTTTTTCTGGCCACATATTTTCCTATATGAACTGTCTTAGTTGTCCTTTCTTTTCTTGGCTCAACCAATGAAATTGTCAAAACAGTCTACAGGAAAAATTCCCTCAGACTTCAACCTCCCATGAGATACACGGTGTTAACGGCATTTAGGGTTCGTGTTTCATTGTAAACATCAGCGTTCCCAAGTCCCTAGCTTGGTGTCTGCCTGGGAGAGTGTAAGGAAGTTTACAAGCGTACATTTAATCTATTGAGAAGTGTGATTTTAATTATTGTCTTGTCTGTTCTTCCCTTGATACATACACGTCACCCCATGGGCGATACTGTTTTTGGAAGTTGCATGCATGTAGCAAGGGAGAGGTTGTCTGTCAAGGGATGTACTGATTTTCTAATTATTCTGGGATGAATTTTGCCTCTGGAGCACAGCTCTGCATTGTAGAACTGCCCTGCTCCACAGGGAGCGCTAAGGAAGGAGACAGAACTCCTCCTGGAGCTTCCCAGCACACCCTCTGCTTTCTCTCACCCTTTATTGGGTTCAGCATACCTCCTGTCCCTTTTTCAGGCCACTGTGCAGGGTAGTGGTGCTGTGGTACTTGTCTCCTGCCTGCCCGGTGCTATGAATTCCAAGGAAGCGGTCCCTGTACTCCCCGAAGGCAGGAACTGCAGTTCTGTCTGGGCACTGCAGAGCGTGTGGCGGGCAGAGGGCTCTGTACTGCTTCCCCTACAATGCATGCCTGCGGAAGGGTCAGGCTGACTCTGGCCGGCAGATGGGATGTGACTTATTGTCTTTTTGAGGTTCAAAAAGGTCATTCATGAGTCGAAGACTAGAACTGCTGTTGTTTTTTGTGTTCATTTCACAAAGATGGCAGGCGCCATTAACCTGAATAGGAATATCTGGAACTGTGTTTTTACTAAAATAAATAAATACGATTTAAAAAATTTTATTTCTTTCTACATTTCAGCTGGATGAAGCTGGCGTTTTTGACCAACACAAATGGCAAAATTCCCGTTCGGAGGTAAGCACAATTGGAGGAGCTTAGCAACTTACCAAATACATTTTGTGTAATGTGTATCAAATCATATTTTATGATATTAATATGCATGCTGATTATATTTGTATAATATTAATTGTATAATTGCAATATATGCATAAACAACAAGATGGGAACTAAGACATTGTCATTTTTGCTCTATTCCTTCTTTTTAAACAGGAAAAACTCCTAATGAAATCAGTGATTTTTTTCTTATTCAGAACCCTATCCTGTGAAGTGTTAAGAGTTTTCAACTCTCAGGAAATCCACTTGGAGCTAAGGGCATGTAGCAGCTTATAGGCACTAACCCTAAGTATTCAGGGATGAGTTGTTCAGTAGTTAGAAGGCAGGTTGTAAAGGCTTTGTCAATAGCAGCATACAAATGTTTCAGACCATTGCAAATAGAATAGCAGGTACATTGGGAAATGCAATTCACTGCAAAACTAAAAGAGGCCGCTTTGCTAGAATTATTCTTGTGTTCGCAGGAACTTTTGGAACAATATTTATGCCATACAGTATACAACCCACAGCAAGTCTTGGCTTACTTATTGCCAAAGATTAAAAAGGCAACTATGGAACAAAACAATATATTTCTCTGTAAGCAGTTGTCTGGCTGAGATATCTGATGTCGCTTTCCCTTACTGTCTGGTTTTACTGCATTTCTCTTACACTTACCTGCTCAAAAGCCTATCAAACAATTTGCCTTCTCTCCTTCCCACACAGAAAAATGTGAAAGTCACCACTCTTGCTAATACTGGGCCATATTGCCCACTTCCACAGCATTACCTGCGGGGGGATTGAGGGGCAAGAGGAGCTGGAAAACTTGGTGAGGTTCCCCTCATGGAGTTGCCTGCCAGGCATCTTTTCAAGAGAGTGGGAATTGGAGCCTTGTGGAGCTGACAAGCAGCAAAGCACCATAGAGCCTGCTACATTGTCCCCGTCTCTCCTGGGGCCACATGGGTCCAACCATAACCGCTGCCCTGGAGGGCACCTTGAAGGAGTGAATGCTGCTTCGGTTTATTAATATATCAACTTTCACATGGCCAGTCCCCTGCTGGTCCCTCGGTCTTGCACCAAACCTCCCTGGGGCACCTTCTAAATAGCGCCGCCACGGATGGAGTATCTGCAGAATAATGAAGATGGGGGAACAACACTGAAAAGGCTTAATCCATTCCCTTCTGTGTGCAGATCCACTGAAGGCAGTCCAGTCCAGTCACTCTAATGACTTAAATCTTCCTATCAGATCCATGGATCTCAAACAGATCCACTGAAGACAGTCCAGTCCAGTCACTCGGATGACTTAAATCTTCCTATCAGAATCATGGATCTCAAATAGGTGGTTTTTATGAAGCAGTCGTCCTAGTCAGTACATATATATGGCTCTCCTTAAAAGCAGTTCAATTCTAAGTCGTTTGTTATCCTAGATTTACACAATTTCCATGCCGCGGCAACCAGATCTCCAAAAGGGCTCGTGTTCAAAGTGTTTTTAGCACATTATGCTAGTGAATTGAAGTCTAGTCTCCTGACGTTTGCTCAAACGAAGGCCAGTTCAGGTATAAAAATAAATAAATCCAGCCTTTTGATGGAATAATTAATGTGCCACACCCTATTTATTGTAGACTGCTAAACAGAGCTGAAGATACAGTGCACGGATTTCACACGTCCCGTACTGCTAATGTAGTGGTTCCAAAGCAGACATTAGCACTCAAGAATACTATGTGGATTTCAGCCAGCAGTTCTCCCTTGAAGGGATTTTAGTTTCCATAAATCCACCAAATCATTTGGCAGCTTGTGACAGATCTAATCCTGTTTCATGCTATAAAGAGGGAAACTCCGTGTTGCTCAGATGCTCAGCCTTCAAAGCTCAGGAATATAGATAGCTCTGGACCTCTCAGAGAAATATATATGGTAATGAATTTAGTGTCATCCTGTGAAATGTCAGACTTCTTGGATGAACAGAACGTGTGGTTTCATTGAACTACTTTTGAACACTGTAACTTTGAATCCAATAGCTTCAACAGGATCTGAAGGTGCTCCACACCTCTGAAAATCAGGCCACTCCTCTAGGTGTCTCTGATAGGATGTGGCAGCCCTTTTCCAGGGCTCATTAGAGAAGTCTCTGGTGCAAGCGCTCTCTCTTTCCCATGCCTTACTTAGGAGAATATGGGAGACGGCCACTGAGTGATAGGAAGGGGTGTCAGGGAAGCAGTTTAAGGTTAAAGGAAAGGAAAACCCAGGCTGTTGACCCGGTCTCGCACCTGAGACCAGAGCTTTGAAGTGTAGGGTACGTGTATGTTCCCTTCCTCCCTTGGCACTGAGGTCCCGATGGGGATTATAGCCCCTGAGGCCTGATGGAACTGTAGTGCTGGGTTCCAGTAAAGAACTACAGGGCGTAGAGCTAGATATTGGTCTGTCAGGTGTCATGCATTGAGCAGCCTCATCGCACATTCCTACAGTCCTGCTGGACGGGGCTGATCAAGGTTTTCCTCCAACTGGAAGGGCTGGGCAGAAGCCTGGGGGCTGCTATGATGTGACGTGGCAGCAATGAGGATGGGGAGGAGACTGTCTCTTCTCTGTCTCAGTGCTCCCTCAGTGGTCCTCAGACAGCCTGGAGAAGTAGGAGGCCGTCTACTGCACAAGGGACTTTTGGCATAGGGCAGGTCAGAACAGGAGTGGGGACAGAAAAGGGGGACAAGCATGGGGCACAAGTTCAGGGCCAGGCTTGAGGGGAATAGGACATAGATGATGACAGGAAGTGAAAGGAGGCAGACCAGGGAGGTAATGAGTCCAGGGTTCACCCTGCCCCCAGCAACTATCAGACTCCAGTCCTTTCTCTGCTCCCAGAAGTCCCCCTCACATCTCCAGGCTTTGCCCCATCCCAGCATCTCCCCAGCGCTCCAGGCTCTCCTCTCCCCGATAACTCCTCCCCCCCCCCCGGCTTCCTCAGGTGCTCCCATTCCTTCTGCTTTTCTTAAACAACCCCTTAGACTCCATCCCGCATAGCTACACCCTGCTTTCCTCCTATATCTTTATACTGGCTGACTTCTCCGGGCTACCCAGTCAACCCTGCCTCCTCCATCCCACAACCGTGGGTGAGAGGGATCGGCTTCCATCTTCTCCCACACCTGTCCGACTGCTCAGGGTCACCCAGAGGAGGAAATATGTGAGCTAGAGTTGCACAAGACTTGGCAGCTGTGGGGATACATATGGGATTTTCATTCCCTCAGGAAGGCAAGTCTCCACGTCAGAGCTGGTGGGGACTAGGAACGTGAGACAGGAAAATAAACTCTGTCTGTCAGTTTGATTTCATTTTGACATTGAAGCCTAAGGCAAGCCTGAGGGAAAAGTCTTCTCTGGGAAATGAGAAATCTTTGTGTTTCTTTGAACTTTAACACAGACCCCACTCCAACCAGCAAAAGGCCTGGGCGAATGCCAAGCCTTGGGAAAGTGGAACTCTGTAGTCCCGATTCTTCCTAGTCCTGCACCTTGTGCAGTCATTTACAACAGTGCAAAGTGGAATAAATGCTACCAACTCGTAACAGTTTGCCCTGACTTTCCCTTGGTGTAATTAACTACACAAGGTGCAGGGCAACAAAAACTCTCTTCCTTCGTGGGATTTTTGGGGGGATTTTAACATAGCCTGTTTGGGTTATAAGCATAGCCTGTGTTTCTATCAGTAGGTTGGGGAGGGAGCACGCATAACAATTGGTGGCGGGCAAATCTCAGAGCGTTCAGTGTTTACTTTACTTGCTTTATTAAATGTATCTGAGCAGTTTTAATCTGGAAATTCATGTGCAGACCTTACAAGAAGTGAGTGTTTTTCATGAAGTTTGGTATAGCAGTGGTCATTATAAAAAGTAAGCATTTGTCAGTAGATCCCACGCTGCTACTGTCGTTATGTATCCTAAGCTCTTGTCTGCACACACTCGTTGCACCAGTTTAACTGAAGGCTGTTTAAAAACTGATTTTAGTTTAACCAGGGCAACCCCCCCCCCAAGTGGAAACATTTATATGGGTTTAAAACTGGGTATATTAGTTTAGCTTGTACCATAAATTCACCAACGCAATCTAAATAAATATAAACTAGGATTAAATCTGCTGCCTTTCCACATGGTACTGTGCACCATTTTAACTAAATCTGTTAAAAATTATACTTTTAGTTAAATTGGTACAACTTTGTGCATAGACCACTCTTAAGGAAAGAGGAGAAATCTCAGGCTTGGTCTATACTTAAAACTTACACCCCTTAGCCAGCATAGCTATGTCAGCAGACTCTGCAGCGTAAGAGCGGGAGAGACAGGGGTTGTTCTTACATAGGCAGAAAAACTCCTTCTGTCAGAGTAAGCTGCATCTGCACTAGAGGGCTATTCCAGTTTAGTTCTGCCAACATAGGCTCTGTAGTATAGACATAGCCTCAGATACCAGGATTTGGTAACTTTTGGCAATCATTGTACCACAAGACTTTCCCATAGTATCTAGGCAGTTATCCTTCCAGTTCCAGAAAAACTAGGAAATGCAGAGGTCCCAAAACTAAGGGCTTGTCTACACTACCCGCCAGATCGGCGCGCAGCGATCGATCCAGCAGGGGTCGATTTAGCACGTCTAGTCTAGACGCGATAAATCGACCGCTGAGCGCTCTCCCATCGACTCTGGTACTCCACCAGAACGAGAAGCACAAGCGGAGTCGATAGGAGAGCGTCAGCGGTCGATTTACCGCACTGAAGACACCGTGGTAAGTAGATCTAAGTACGTCGACTTCAGCTACGCTATTCATGTAGCTGAAGTAGCGTATCTTAGATCGACCCCGTGCGGTAGTGTAGACAGGCCCTAAAACAAAAACTGTTTTGAACAGTCTGTGTTTTGATTATTTTGTGGGGGTGAAGGTTTGTTCCAGTTCTTTTTGTATCTGAGCCATTTCACCCATCTTGAACAATTGTAGTGGAATGAACTACTACTAATCTTGAATCCTGTTTCCAGTACACATTTTAAAAAAAAATGAATGGTGAAAAGTACATTGACACTTGACAATGAAACTCATGTAGGCTGTCATGTAGTAATCTTTCCTGCTTCAGCATTAATCCAATTCTGTTTCTAGGCATCGGAAAGAAGAATGCAAATTTGCTATGATCAAGTCTCTTTTGACTGGAAGCGGTAGTTTTATGTACAATATTTCCTGCTAAATGAAATTGTCATGCAGGATTTGTGATTCATGTGATCCTTTTCTAGGCTGCTGCGCTCAGAAATAATTACTACCATGTTTGCTGTCTTCTTTGATGAAATAACGGATAATTTGGCATCTAAAATAGAGCTATGGAATTTTGGCTCACCGTTTTTGATTAATTGTTTATCCTAATGTTAACAGATGTTTGATACAAAACGTCAATTACTGGGCACTTTAGTGGAATAGATGTCGGATTTTTACTGGGCTAGAGTTAGATGATAGATCTTGCAGCTAGCAATCCTGCACATCGTAGAGTGAAATGTCACTGAAAGTTAGAAAGGGTTAGATAACATCTGAGATTTTTTTTTTAAAATAGGAGTCTAACTTTAGGCACTCCAGCCCCTGTTTCGATGGGAGCTGCTGGCTGCTCAACAACTTAGAAAATCGGGCTACTTATTTAAGTCCCTAAATATGGACATGGGAGTCTAATTTTAAGCACCTGTTTTTAAAAAAATCTTGGTCAAAAATATTAATTTATCATTTATATCTTTGGCTTGATGATCTTCATTTTATTGGTGGGAAAATATTTACACAAGTGGTTTTATGTGTTTTGGAGAACAAAACAATTCTTGATTGCTATGGGAATATATAATAATGGCAACAGTGTATTTCTCTTTGTGTATTTACTTAGTGTCTATGATATTAATAAGAAGTCTCGGAAAATTCACTTGGTGATATAGAAGGCAGCATATTTGAGTCCGATTGCTGTTGTGAAGTCTTTCCTGATGTAATGCTCATGTTAGGACTATGAACGTGGCCCTAAGCCACAATATTGTCTCCAGATCTGGACACCAAAGCTGGGGAGTCGTTGGCCCCATGATTTTGGCTCAGCCCTTTAGAGAGGGGGAAGGCTGTCTGTGATCTGACTTTTCTGAAGCTCATCTCTGGTGGAAACAGAAATAAAACAAAAGTCTTCACATTAATCACATCAGACATCATAGACTTGCATATATTTTGTTCCAAGTAAAAATGAATCTAATGGATGATGAAATAAATCCATCTTTTATACAAAGAAACCAAATTGGTCCAGGAGTTTGAGTCTCAGTGGAAGTGGGAAGGAAGCAAAAATGGTTGTATGTGGTCTGTCTGGAGGAGGAATAGCCTTGTTTGAAGCGGGTTAGAAACTCTTTCAAGGGAAGAAGGAACAGCAAGGAAAGCGTAACAAAATTCTGTGTGTGGAAGATGGCCTTGGTGGAAAATGTGAGGAATCAGAATTTGGAGAGTTTCTCATGGGGAGAAATAGCTTCAAAAGAGAGGAGGAAGGAAGCAGAGGAATGGGACTAGATCAGGATTTCCCTGTGGGATGGCTGCCTTAAAATGGACAGATTAATAGTGCAGAAGGGTGGGAGTCACCACTGTGAACACAGAGGAAGCAGCAAAGCCTAGAGTTGTTTGCTAATACCTACCTTGTTTGTGTCTATGTATCCTGTTGAAAAGTGAGGTTTTTACTCACGAAAGCTTATGCCCAAATAAATCTGTTAGTCTTTAAGGTGCCACCAGACTCCTTGTTGTTTTAGCAGAATAACGTGTTGCACAACTCTTACTGAACAAACCTCTTAGTTCTTTGGGCAGATCGCTGTTTCGCTAAATCTTTTAGTAGTTCGCTTACACAGAGAGCAGGCGGAGTATTTCTGCTCTGTGGAAGCTTACAGCATTATTACAACGGTGCTTGGTGCACGACTGTCTCTAGAGGTACTTGCATAAATCGTTTGGGAAAAAAAGGGGGAAATGTTGGAGGAGAAAAGGAGTAAGAGACTGAAACTGATTATTTAAAAAGTGACTAACTTTTTGTCTCCTTTTTCTTAGTATTACCAGAACCTTTGCATCAGGTAAAACAGAAAAGGTGATCTTTCAGGCACTTAAGGAACTAGGTCTTCCCAGTGGAAAGGTATTTACCAATTTAAAATAACTTTTTTTTATATTAAGAAATCACAGAAATGATCAGATTATATCATTATATTTTAAGTCATTTGTGTCTTGTGAAAAAAACATGCCTCGTGTTCTCAGACAGCTTTGTCATCGCTTCAATTAAACAGGAATATTTACTAATGAGTTTTATACTAAATGGTACCAAAGTTAGTTAGGGCTTTTTTCTGATGTCCCAGTGTGTTGAATAATTATATTCAGACGTTCACATGGTACCTTGAATGATCTTTTTTTTAACTTCAACAGGCAAAATAAAGACTATGTCTTTGTTCTGTATTTACTTTTTTACATATTATTATTATTTATTTTATCATTCACAGACTTAATGTTACCATGTAGTCAGAATAAAAGTGCACTAAACCGATTTGGGGTAAGGAAAAAATTGAGAGCTCTTCTCAGAAAATATAAATAAAGTCATGTGCATTAGGCACAGTTTACTAATACTTTTCTAATACTCAGACATGTTGATAGAATAAAGAATAAATAAACTGGCTTTTGCTAAATCAATATTTGGTTTTTTTTTTTCAGAATGATGAAATTGAGCCTCCCGCTTTTACTTATGAGAAATTTTATGAACTAACCCAAAAGATATGTCCTCGTACGGACATAGAGGAACTCTTTAGGAAGATGTAAGTTAAATTAAATATTAAACTAATTTTAAATTGTTTTACTGTCATTTTAGTCTATTTCTAGTATTAACCGGTACAACACTGAACATGATAAAGAAGTCCCAACCTTGACTCCTAATACCATGTATGGTATTTGCAAACCAAGTCACATCTACATTTTCTTGCCTTTCCCCCCAAATTATTAATGTAAAAGTTAACTCTGTATTTTAGAGCAACTTTTACATGAGTTAAAAGAAGCACCTGGAACTTTTTTTTGCATTGGCTTTACTAACTACCTACAGTTTTAACCTGCTCCTTTAGGTTATTAACACAGTATGTGAACTAACTAGATTAAGCAAGAAGTCTAAAAGTTTGTTCAGTCAGATTCTTCTCAAACGGAGGACTTACATGTTGTTTGCTAAATTAACATTTGTTAAATCATACTGAGAAGAGAGGGTATTATACTGTAGCAAGCATAGACTGTTTGTTTGCCTTGACAGTGTCTGTTCATTTTGAGACTACACAGCTACTTCAGTGTTAGGAAACTGCAAGGTTTAGAAAGTATCAACAATGTCAACATGTAAATCATACCTACTGTAGCATCATACATGAAAACTTACTTTTTCTAATAAATTTCTTTTCAGCAATGGAGACAAAACTGATTATTTAACGGTAGACCAATTAGTGAGCTTTCTAAATGAAGTAAGCTTTTTCATACATTAACTACCATACAAGTCTGTCTGCAGTGGCTTGCTTCTTCCAGTCTTCTCATTGCATGTATCATGCCATCATTTGCTGTGCTTTTGATCTGCTGATCTTTTCATTATGGCGATATCCAGGTGCAAAAATCAGCTCCAACTTTATATGTTCTTGTGCTTTCTCTGTGTTGGCTTTGCGGATTGCTTCTGTTGATTACTTGCTGTGGTGTGAAGCTATTGTTGTGTATGTTTTATACTGTTATATACAATGTAATTTCAACTAAACTATACTCAGTGTTTTGTTATAAGCAATTATTTTACTTTTAGGCATTTGATTGCTGTATTGAATAACAGAAATATGAAGTGGGCTTTTATATGTAGTAGTTTGATTCTCCACTATCAAAATCTTTTCTGTTTATTACAAATCTATGAATCATAAGGATATTTTAATGAGTTGTGTGTGATTCTGAAAATATTAAAAATATGTAGGATAGAAGGAAATATATTGGCAGCAGTATTTCTAAAATGCACATTTATTAGCAAGAGTCTGCAGTGTTTCTTCAGTCTAGTATCTGAAAAAGTACCTTATTAAAGTGTGTGATTTTCTTCTGTTTCTAAAGCATATTAAGATGAGTGGGAGTATGATTCACAGAGCTACACACCACTTCAGTGAATCTGACAGAATTTACTTAAAACAAATGAAGTATTGTGAACACCAAGTAATTCCCCAGCTTTTGTACCACTAAACTCTTTTTTTCCCAATGGACTGCAGAATTGTGTTCCTTCTCTATAGGGTCTTTGAGGGAACTGATGAGTTATCCAAGTACAAACTTAAAAAACAACAGCAACAACAAATTGCTATTTTCTCATTTCTCTATGCAGAGATTTAAGCATGCATCAAGTTACTACCGTATCTAAAAGAGGGCCCTTTTGCTCCGTGTTCAAAAAGCAGCATATGCCTTATTGATCACCAAAAGTGAACCAAACACAAAGGGTTTTTTTTAAAAGAAGTAGAAGAAAATTAGTGATGAAATTAACAGTTTTATCACTGTCCAATGGACTAGGCACGTGGAGTAAACCACACTTCAGTGGCTGCCCCAAATGTGCCCCTACCTTGCAAACAATTCCGTACGTGCTTCATCTGCCTACTGTGAGTAGTTCCATTGAAATCCATGGTCACAAAGCTAAGCATATGTGTAGGTGCTTGTAGGAACTAGGCAGTGATTGGTATGATGTGTGAATAATCCACACCCCTGAGTGACATAAATTACACAGACCTAAACACCAGTGTGGACAGCGCTATGTCGGTGGGAGAGTTTCTCCCGCCAACATAGCTACCGCTGCTCATTGGGGGTGGATTAATTAAGTCGACGGGAGAGGTTCTCCCTTCAGCTTAGAGCGGCTCTCTAGTGTAGTTATAGCCCGAGTAGAGTTTAATGTGTTGGTCATGATGTGTAAGGCCTTAAGTGGCCTGGAACCTACTTACCTAAGACATCCTCTCTCTCCCCCTTCACATATGGCCAGCCCTCTCTGTAGTCAGCAGAGGTGCTGAAGCTGGAAAACATAAAAGCTTATTGAGAGAGACGAGATAGGTGAGGTAATACCATTTATTGGACCAACTTCTGTTGCTGAAAGAGACAAGCTTTCACAGAGGTCTTCTTTAGATCTGGGAAAGGTACTCGGAGTGTCACAGATAAATACAAGGTTGTTAAGCATAAGAATTAACAACATGTTTAAAGGGACCACTCAAAATGAAGTGGGCCATTAACAACTCTGCAGTCATAGAACCAAGATTACAGATTGTTGAAAGAGACATTAAAGGGTTGTGCAGGTTTCCGTTGGAGACGAGGGCTGTGAGGCCAGATATGGAGTGATTGTTTCATGGTTGATATAGTGGTTTGGTCTTTGATCATTTTTCTGCATGAGTTCATTCAAGAATGTAGTGATTGTCTCATTTCACCCATAGTTGATGGGGACCACATCCTGAAAGCAATCTTTCCGGCATAGGCACTGTAAGAGGTCCGGACTCACCCCTGCGGCACCTCCTGCTGGTCGTCCAGGGAATTAGCTCACCAGCCTCTGGAGCGCCCTCTGCAGGGCAGTGATCCGCCTTGTCCTCTGCACTGGCCCCCGTGTCCCTCCCAGGACCCCGGTGCCCCTTGCTCGGGGTGCTGCCCCTTGGCAATACCCACACACACACTAGGTCTCCCCTCCCAGGGGAACTCCCACCCACTAACCCCACCTCGCCTCAGGATAAGGCCACTGCCAGTCACCATCTAGCCCCCACTCTCTGGGGCAGACTGCAGTATAGGCCACTCATCATTAGCAAGGTTGGGTTTGGACCTGCTGCCTTGGCCTAGCCCTGGGCTGCCCTCTGCAACCCCCAGTACCCCTTGGCCTATTACCAGGCCGCAGCCTGGGGCTATCCAGGCTGGAGCTCCCCAGCCTTTCCCCAGCCCTGCTCCACTACAGGTACCCTGTCTAGCTCCCTGCAGCCAGGCCCTTCTCTCTCTGAAGGCAGAGAGAGACTCTACTGAGCTCCTGGCTCCTAGCCTCTTATATAGGCCAGCTGAGGCTGTTTGGGGCATGGCCCCAGCTGCAGCCACTTCCCCCAATCAGCTCAGCCTTCGCAATGCCTGCTCCCTGGGCTATCTCAGGCCCTTCCAGGCCGGAGCAGGTGTCCACCCTGCTACAGGCACTGACTTTTATTTTTCCCTGGGGGTGCTCCACGCCCGCTCCATCCCCATCCCTCCCTCGAGGCCACGCCCTCACTCTGCCTCTTTCTGCCTGCCCGTCACTAGCTGTTCTCCGCCCTCCTGCAAGCACTTCCCCCAGCCACCAAATCGCTGATTGACAGCACTGCTGAACAGCTGTGTCTTGTGGGTGCTGAGCAGTCACTATTTTGTTTTCCACGGGTGCTCGAACCCCAGAGCACCCCTGGAGTCAGCATCTATGCTTTCTAGAACCCCACTTTCTGGCCTTCAAACAGCCCTCTCAACCTCACCAAGCTCATCATCAGACGCAAAGCTCTGCACAAACCACGACATACCACCTCAGTGGCACCAGACCCTGCCAGAACAACAGTTGCAAAACCTGCAGACATCTCTCCAGGCTACAATGATCAAGACCCCTCACAACACACCTTTTAAAATCCATGAGTCATACACGTGCCTATCACAACATGTGGTGTCCGTCATCCAGTGCATCATATGGCCCAATAACAACTCTGTGGGTGCAGCACTGTGTGTGTAGATGTGCCCTAACTCTCCTTTGTTCTATGGTTGCAGAGGTGTTAATGGCCCACTTCATTTTGAATGGTCCTTTGCAACGTGTTAACTCCTGCGCTTAACAGTCTCTTCCACCTTGTACTTCATTGTGACACTGAGGGCACGGCTACACTTGCAGGCGTAGAGCGCTTTGAGTTAAATCAGCCTTTGTAGAGCACAGTATGGAAAGTGCTGCAGTCTGTCCACACTAGCAGCTGCAAGTGCACTGGTGTGGCCACATTAGCAGCTCTTGCAATGGTCACAGAGAGCAGTGCATTGTGGAAGCTATCCCAGCATGCAGATGGGTGGGGTGGAGTGTGACAGGGAGTGTGTTGTGTGTATGGGGGGGGAGAGTGGGTTTTGGGGGGGCTGAGAGCATGTCAGTGTGCTGTCTTGTAAGTACAGAGAGCAGCAGATCCCCTCTTCCCCTCCCCCCCACCTCTCTCTCTCACACACAGCATTCCACAGTAATGGTTGCTTTGTCTTGGAGCAGATAAGCAGCCGGCTGTCAGAAACAGAGCTTTCAAGGGGCATATCCGCATTCCTGCAGTGATTCCAAAACAATGACAAGAGTGGCCACTTGACTTAAGGGGCTTATGGGACATTTCTGGAGGCTGATCAGAGCGCAGTAATGCAACACCTTGTTCACACTGACGCCCGGGCGTTTCAGCCAAGGTGCACCAGACGTTAATCTTCTCGCCGAAGAGGAGTACCAGGAGTGCTCTAGCCCTGGAGTCAGAGAGCTCTATGTGCCTTGCCGGTGTGGATGGGTAGTGAGCTAGGGCGCCCAGGGCTGCTTTAATGCGCTGTAACTCGCAAGTGTAGCCAAGCCCTTAGTATCTTTCCCCAAACTGAAGAAGAGCTCTGTGTAATTCAAAAGTTGGTCTCTTTCACCAGCAGAAGTTGGTCCAATAAAAAATATTACCTCACCCACCTTGTCCCTCCCATGTCCTGGGACAAACATGGCTACAGCAGTACTGCAAACAATAAAAGTTTATTATCATTAGAAAAAAGCGGTGGCTGCTGGCAGGGCGTTCTTAATGAGGGCCCTGGGACTTCTAAACTTGTTTCCACTTTGTTCCAAAATATCCTGAATTTGATGACCTACCAGGCATGTTGTAGGTTGCAAATGCAATTTGTTTGATAGGATTTTTAGGGAAGGATGAGGGTATGTCCCTGGGTAGGTCTGATTTGGGAGTGAGGCTTTTCTGGAGTTTTTCCATTTTTTTTTTTTTATTGTCTATTGGCTTAGGTAAATTGTTAGCTCCATTTTGACTGTTTAATGCTGCAGGCTGACAGTTAATTTAATTATGTATCATTATTAATGCTGGTGGGTTGTTTCTATAAGTCTAATTATTGTCAGGCACTTCTGTGCGTGTGTTCTTTTTTTTTAAGTTAAATCTAAAGAAAAGGAAAAATAATAGAAAAATGAAATAGACCTAAAGCTACTGAGATTTCCTCCCGCCATTTATTCGCAGCCACAGATTTTAGCTTTGGCCTACGTGTGTAATTATCAAAAGTAGTAATTCAGTACAGGCTGGCCTGGACTCCTGCTTTCTGCTGAGCAAAGAGATAAGATGAAATGGGAGATTGGATCCTTCTTGTTTAGTAAGTTTTCCCCTTTCTGTTTTTGGTGGAAAAAGGCCATTATTTCTGCTGGACCTCATAAATCCCAATAATGAAACTGGCTTCTAGCAAGTCATGAGTTGTTTCACATATCAGCAAGTATTTATCTGGCTAGGAGGTAAATGGCTGGGTGGCCATATTTGGAGAGCATCTGTTTCTTCCCTCTTTCTCTTTCCAAAGTAAACAGGCACCCTCTAGCCTCCTCCCCCCCCCCCAAATGATTTACCCTCCTTTTGTTAAGGAACGTCTAGTAGATCCTGTCTAATATGGTAACTAGAACAAGCAACAGCAGCTTTGCTGGACATATGTGATTAGTCCTGGGAGCTTTATGCTTTTCATATTAGTCAGCTATGTTGTTTTGCATTATAAATTCCCTGTGCCAACAAACTCACTAGCATAAAACATTTATGCAGGGGATCCTGCTTGACATTCCTTTTTTTTAATAACATCACACAAATTGTCAAGTATTACCAGAATTAACTAAACTTTCCAAATGGAAACAAAAAAAGATAATGAGCAGTGATCATGATGACAACAATACAAATATTACTGTTAGTTCCCTGCAATAATTTTTTGGCTGTGATTGCTAAGAAGCGTTGTTTGCCTTCTCCCATCTGTTTTCTTCCCCTGTGTCACCTCTGTTCTATTTACGATTATCCGTGGAAGAGTGAAGCGGGGAAGAGCACTCTTCTTTAATAAGAGCCTCCCCTCCTCTTTCTTTCAGTTGTTTCAAATGATGCATTTTCACTAATGGTGCAAAGCTTGTCACGTGTGATTACATGTGGTCGGCCGTACAGTTGCATGCTAGTGTTGTGCTCCTGAGAGATGCTTAGCAAGGTGTGTCCTGCATTCAGCTGCTTACATTTCATATTCATCTGAGATTTACTTAGATATCCAGATAGCCAATGTATAGTGAATTTAACTGCTATACTTCAGATGCTGTCGACTGTCAATAGCATTAATACAAGGATGCTTCATTAACTGCATGATTAAATTGGCATTAGTTGTAATTTCTTAGAATTACCCAACCACACATGCCAATCGGTTGGTTGTAAAGAAGAGATCAGGTTGCTTATTTTTGATTGGACATGGCTTGATATTGAACAGAATACCAAAATATTTGTATGTAAGGAATTACAGCAAATGCTTATAGTGCCTTAGGTCATAGACATTCCACACTGTCCATTCCTAAATTATTGGTCAACAATATGGGGGTGGCCTGTGTTACATTTATGAATGTAAATTACAGCTTCAAAACTGCACCTACCTGGGTAAAAGAGTGTTTCCATGGTCATCTTTGTTTATTTGTGTTGCTTTTGCATCTGCTTACATGCCACGATTCCGTTGAATTATGTTTTTAATGGAGAATCAGGCACACTGTGTGCAGCTCTAATCCAGTGTGAATAAAAGTGAAAATCGCATTGCACACTCCAAAGTGAATGTGTCATGAATCCGGCCTTTAGAGATTTATTGGAAGTCACTGATACCTAGAATGCCTAAGTATAGTCCAAACAATAGTTGTGTATGATAGTATGAAATCCCTGCATCATTAATTGCTATACATTTTGGGATGATACTGTGAGGATGTTTTTTAATGATTTACATATGTCCTCTATGATCCTAAGTTGATTTTTCAGAAAGTTGAATGCCCCAGTATTTATACGATTCACAGAAATAATTGACACTAGTTAACAGATTTCTAAATGCAGGTTTTGCATAGACTATTTGTAGCAACTTTTTATTTTTTTAATGTTTATTTTAGTCATCCATATTGATGAAGACGCCAGTTTTATGAAGGGATAATTATGTTACCGTCAGTCAGGCCCGTCAGTTTGCATGACCTACATAAAAGATTGCTGAAGAAGGAAGAGGATTTACCAAGTTATTAAAGGATCTGCTGTTAATTGTCAACATTTTATTGGCACATACGCCACATGCGTTATTTTATTGTCATGAGTAAATAGCAATAATACATGTTAAATGATTGCACTGGAGTATTTTCCTGAACAAACTGCCTGTTGTTTTCATAGATAACTAGATTTAAATTTATATAATGCTGAAGTTACAATTGGGATATTCTGTAAATTCTAGTTTAAAAAAAATGGTCCAGCTTGTTCTTTCTCGTCTGCAGTAATGAAAAGTTCTTGGAATATAGCCTTGCAGTAAGTGGTCCTGCTAAATTATGTTATTTTCTAACCTTAGCATCAACGAGATCCTCGTCTGAATGAAATTTTATTCCCATTCTATGATTCAAAAAGAGCAATGCAGATAATTGAGACATATGAGCCAGATGAAGATTTGAAGAATAAAGGTAAACAAAGTGGGACTATCTGTGTATCAAAAATTAATACCACATTTCTTTAGACACTTTAAATTTTAAAAAGCACCTAAGTGACTTAGGAGCCTCGTCCCAATGAGACTGGGGCTTGTCTAAGTTGCAGAATCCTACTCGGTCTACTCTAAGCCAGTACCGCCAGCTGCACCTCCACCCCTGATGTACTCCTCCTGCCCTAGGCATGCTCCCTACACAAGGGATTGTGAGGAGCCAGTGGCTGTCTTCCTTGGTTCCTGCAGCACAGGAAACAGGCCTTGACGCCACTCTGGTCCTTTTACCAGGGGTAAAGCAGCTGAATGAGGGGTAAGGATTTCATCCTGTAAATGTTGCTCCTAATTTACTCTGCTATCCTTGCATCACACTATCTGTTAACAGATTGCTTATGCTTTTTTTGCTAAAATTGTACCTGTGAGGTGGTGGTCTCTCCATAACTTCTCAGGGCACTCCAGTAAAAAAGGGGAAGGCTTTCAGCCAATACACTGGCTATCAGATGGGAGATATCTCCTCTCAATAGCATGGTATTTCTCTTTTAAAAATGATCTATCGGACACCCCAGGATCCATTGTTCTCTCTTCTTGCAGTCATGGATTGGAATTTTGAAAGCTCCAACTCTGTAGCTTTTGTTTTCCTCTCCGTATGTCCCAGAAACTCCCCTTACTACTTACCTCCTTTTCTTTTTAATCTAATCATATTGGTCACATGTTTAATGCAGTCATGGATCTACTGTCTAGATGCCAGCATATTTCAAGTGTTTTCCCATAATGTACAAGGTATCATGAACATTGTTTGCCCTTGTTCAGAAAGAGATGCACCCATGTTTTGGGTGGGCAGGAGTTAAAGCAAACCAGTAGTTTATGAAGATAGTTTCTTGTCTGCAAAATACCTGTCTCTAGAAGCTGATGTCGGCATAAGCTTCTACACTGCTTTCATATTCTTTCAACCAATCATTGAGTCATGGTAGCGACTGGAGCCTATTGTTTTAATTCTTTCTTTCTTTATTATTTCTGCTGCAATGTATGTAAATGTGGAATGTCTCCTGCAGAAAAATCGATGGGTTTTTTTTGATGATGATCTTTCCTTGGTGGAGTTAATTCATGCGGGTTTCACCCCAATAGAATTAGTGGGAGAAGGGGAGGAATTGGCCCCAGAAGTTGTGGATCCCGAATATAGGCAGGTCATTCATCTGGCTTTAAACCATACTGTCCTCTCGTTGGGTGATTGGTCCCTAGTCCAGTGTGGAAACAAAACCAGACTAGGTTCTGTCCAGTATCAGACTGGGATGACATTTTGAAAAGCACATCATTCTGCCCCCACCAGTGTGACCTTGCATGCACCATCCATGTGAGGTCATGCTGGCAGGGGCAGGCCCACACCAATCCTGGAAGTACCATAATGTCTTGTATTCTGGGAATGCATGAGTAGCCACCCAACATCCAATGGAGGCAATGGCTTATCTGTCTGGTGTCTGTTCTCTGCAGTCCTTTACAAGACCCCTATTCCATAAAGCACTTAGGCACATGTGTGCACTGAATAGCACTGTGTGGGAGGCAAGACCTCATTCACTGAACAATAGCTGTAAGAAACCAGTCCTGCCTTGGTCACTGTACAGCAGGGGTAGTGAATTATTTTTTGTCAAGGTCCAAATTTCTTGGTCAAGGTGCAGTCAAGGTCCAGACTCCAAAAAAAAAAAAAAAATTAAAATAATAACAACAACAATGATAAGTAAATAAAAAGATTTGGGGGTCCATTCAAAAGCAGCTAGTGGTTCAGATTTGGCCCATGGTCCGCCTATTGACTACCCCTGCTGTACGGTTAGGATCAGTAACTAGTAAGGGTCGGTAACTAGAACTCAGCCCTTCCTCATGTGCTGTACAGTACATGAATGGCTCAGTAAGCTCTGGAGATCTGTGGGAGAGCAGTTATACACACTTTCTCCTTCTGGGGGAGACTCTGCAACTCAGTCTCTTAATTATGTTATCAGTGGGGCAGGGCTTCATTATTTTATTAAAATCTTAGCAGATATCCACCAACTATACACAGTAGTGATTTTTTTTTTCACTCTCTTATACTTTTTCCTCCAGGCTAATTACATGTCACGCTTGGAGCTACTTTGTTCTGCTGTTTTTAAGTTCGGAGGGGCGGGTAGTTAAATTTCTTAAGATGAGAATGTGTGATTTTTCATTTTTTTTTTCATTTTCCCCTAACTCAAAACCAGCTGACGGGATTTGGCTGTGACCAAGAATAGGAAGTTCAAAGCCCCAAGTGAGAATTTTTCAGAAAGTTATGAGCAAGTGAAAGCTGGGGGGTTAGGGATTCTCTGTTGAAACAAAAAGGTCATGTGAAACAGAATAAAATTAGAGCTGCTGTGTGCTGTCCCTTGCCAATAACAGAGCTTCCATGTCTGACATTAGGAAACATGAACTTCAAGTTCAAATTGCATTCAAATTGTGTAATGTAACATTTAGATGGTTAACTGCCTACCTCCTCTGCCCCCCCCCCTTTTTTTTTTTTTTTTTTTATTAGGCCATTTTTAAAATAGATCACAGGCAGAATCTGATCTGGCTTAAACCAGAATCTGGCCCCTCGTCTTTTACAATTTCTGAAGCACAAAACAAAAAGAGGTGAAAGAACACATACTATGAACATTGTGGCCAAAGTTACTGTACACACAAGGTTCCATTTTCTAACATGTCTTTGTTTACACAGAAAATGTTTTCATTTTCATTGTCAGGAAGATAATCTACTGTATATACTTCGAACAGTGGGATGGTTAGCAAAAGTCTTGAACCTTCCATGTTTTGGAAATACATCCAAAATAAATTAACTTTGCAGGTCATGCTAATAGAATCTTTGGATTCCAGCCTTTGAAAGACTGGGAGAGCCTTGTACTTAAATTACTGTTGTTAATTTTCTTTCATCTGCTGCTGTAAAATACCAGCACCTCTTCTGGGTAACAATGTCTGTGTTCCTTTAAACACTAACAATTGTATTCTCTGCATAAATACAGAAAAAACATAAAGCTATTTTTTTCCTTCCAGGTCTCATATCAAGTGATGGATTCTGCAGATATTTGATGTCAGATGAAAATGCCCCAGTCTTCCTTGACCGTTTGGAATTATACCAGGAAATGGACCATTCTTTGGCTCACTACTTCATCAGCTCCTCCCACAATACCTATCTAACAGGCAGGCAGTTTGGCGGGAAGTCTTCTGTAGAGATGTACAGACAAGTGCTTTTGGCTGGTTGCAGGTTGGAAATATAGGATAATGGCTTTCATAGTTAATATTGTTTTAGGGAAATCAAATACTTCATTTTATTTACCTCGGCAATTCTATAGGATACCATGTAAATATAACAAGTATGATAAATATGAAAAATATCATAAGTAAAATTCTTTATTGTACAAAAACATATGAAAAGAGTAGCCTTTAGGAAGTTCTAGTATTGTGGGGGGAAGGGGTGTGTTGGTAGGCTGCACACTTCTGCAGTTCAGAGGGATTTGTGCTGTGCAATTAAGCCAATCTGCATTTACACAGATATCAGTTTGACTTCCAGTTTAACTACTTGCAGTGCATAGATATGGTATATCCAAATTAGCTAACAAGAGAGTAAATAATGGAGTGCTGATAAAAAAAACCACTTTCACTCAGACATTTTACACTCCCACACACAGAGTTTAATGTAATATGTCCATAGTTATAAAATCAAATTGAAATGATAAGAGTTTGTGTATTACATACAGCGTGAGAGGAATTGTATTGCTTCTAAAATTGCATTGTTATTTACTGTAGCCTCTGCTCTTGAACAAGACAGATTGCTTGGAGTTTTTGTCAAATGGCTTATATATTTATTGAAATATTGTGGAAATTGACATCGTTGTTATTGGGTTTTTAGATGTGTTGAACTGGATTGTTGGGATGGAAAAGGTGAAGACCAAGAACCAATAATAACGCATGGGAAAGCAATGTGTACAGATATTCTTTTCAAGGTAGAATATATATATCATTGGTAACTTCAAATTTATAAGTCAAACTTTAAGCCCAAATCCTCTCTTCAACACCCAGACTGGGAAATTTAGCTAGTAAGTAGGGAACTCTGCAGAGAGCAGGAATCCCACCCCACAACACTGCATGGCTGGTACTACATCCTAATGGAATGAATGCTTCAAATGGGGTGGTTCCTATGTCCCGAACTCTTAAAAGCTTGCCTCTGCCTCACTACCTGTTCCCACCCCCCTCTGCATGAAAGCATGCAGGGAGCCCACTCAGGCCCTCTGCATAGTCTCTCCAAATCCTGCCACTCTTATGGGCTCTGCTGCAAAAGTCCCCCTTACCTGTGGAAGGGACAGGCGAAACACAGGAGTTGTCCCTTCAGCCAAAATCCTCCTCTCGGCCAGATCAGCTGTCAGATCCCTATGTCTCAGAGCAGCACGGAGCTTGTGTCTGTTGCTACCACCTTCCTTCCACAGGTGGAGAGGGAGTTTTTTAAACATGGAGTGCAAGGTAGTGAGTAGGAGTAAACGGAGAAATGAAATAGACACACTTTGTTCCGTCTGTCTTTGCTTCATTTACTATAGAATCCATCATGTTCTGTGTCTGTAAAATATTTCTACTCGTGATTGCCACTTGATGTGTTTTAACATGAACCCTTTCTTTGCATTTTAAAGGATGTCATTCAAGCCATTAAGGAAACTGCATTTGTTACGTCTGAGTATCCTGTTATTCTTTCATTTGAAAATCACTGCAGGTATAAAGTATATTCATCTTCCATTTTTAATAGTGCAATGAAAGAGCAATTGTACCTATGATAAGGCTCATAATAGTTCAACTTTACTTGGAAAACTTTGTAACAGGGTTATGCGGATAAATTAGATTAGATGTCGCTTTGAAGAGATTCAGAGATGTTTGCTTGAACGCAAAGGTCAAGCTTTACGTTGGTTTAATAATGCTGTGATTCAGCAGTGAGTTAGATTTGAAGGTCACATTAACTGAATAATATTTAATCAGCACATTACTTTGGTCTAAATAAATTCATGCATTTCAGTTATATTAGTTAGGTTTTTATAAACAGTTAAAAGTACTGTAAGTCTTGTAATTTTATTGTAAGTGGGCAGCAAATTACATGAAATACTTGTATTACTTCTATATTAACTTTTTTTGTTGCTGAATGATGGCTTGGGGTTTTGGGGGGGGAAGGGTTTGAGAGAGAGAGTCTTAAGAAATTAACGAATGTCACTTTTTTCAGCAAATACCAACAGTACAAGATGTCAAAATACTGTGAAGATTATTTTGGCGATCTCCTTTTGAAGCAACCTCTAGAAACACATCCAGTATGTATCTTTAAAAATTGTGTTTATATCTTGGGTTAACATTATTAGAGAGAGATAGTAACTTGGGGTCACATCACCAATAGTGGAGAAACTTGTGTACCTGGGCCTAAGTTTTCAAACATCACTATTGATTTTGGGCTTCTCAGGTTTTGGGTGCCCAACTTGTCCTTAGCTGGTTCATTTAATTTCTTCTGAACATGGATTGGGGAAGGACCTCTGGCAAGGGTTGGGGAGCCATGTCCCCATGCTGAATCAAGCAGGGTTGCCTGCCCTATACAATAGACGAAATGTAGTTCTTTTGCTTGTGACCTCACCACCTTGTCTCTTTGTAGTTTCCAGTCATTGATGCTCTACTTAATGCTAAACTGTATTAATGCTAAGTGGCACTATGTGCAAAAGCCTTATTTAAACGAATCTTAGCCATACCCGGCAGAGCATTACAGGATCTAATGATGAACACATCTTGTGTGTATAAGCAAGCACTGTGGCCAGTCCACAGCTGGTACAGAAGAACACGGTGTCAGGAGTACACTAAGAACAGAAACAGAAGGAACAAAGCAACAAATGCAGACACAAAGAACAGACACAAAGTTTGCAGGATCTCATCAACATGCCACTTTTCAATGCCCCAGAGAACTTCAGCTTTGACAAATCTTCACAATGGACAGACAGTATTTTGCAAGATTTCGAACTGCAAACAAACTTCGGGAAGAAACTGGAGATATACAAATATCTTCTTTAATTTATGTTGTGGGAAAGCAAGCAAAGCATATCTTTAAATCCTTTGATTTTACTGCAGACTGTCACAAAGATGACTATGAAAGGGTTCTGGCTATGTTTGATGCATACTTTATACCTCAGAGAAATGTGGTTTATGAAAGAGAATGTTTTCATGAGAGAATTCAAGAACCAGGGGAAAATGTTGAATGTTTTATAAGAATTCTGCATACATTGGCTGAAAACTCTGATTTTAGAAATGCAAAACATAAAAATATCAGACCCAGGCTGGCTTATTGGGTTAACACAGTGGTCCCCAATGGGGTTCCCCTCGGGCGCCATGGTGCCCGCTGGGGCATCTATGTGTGCCCGCGTACTGACCGGCGGACAAGCATCTGCCAAAATGCCGCCGGCGACGCCTCTGGATGATGCTGCTTGTCGGTGGCATTTTGGCGGCGACGCCTATTGACGTTGCCGTTTCTCGGCAGCATTTCGGTGGATGCTCGTCCACCGGCCACGGTCCGCAGTGGCTCGTCGTCTGGCGCCCGCCAGACAAAAAAGGTTGGGGACCACTGGGTTAACAGATGGAAAAACTTTTCATAACAGCTGAAATTGAAGAGAGATTTAACCCTAACCTCAGTTATTTAAATAGCAAAACAGTCTGAACTAGTGAAACAGTGAAACCTAGAGAAACTTGACAAACTTAAAAAACTGAAGCTAGCTTAGAAACTGTGTTAAAAATTATCATAAAATCCCTGAGGCAAGGAGAGAGAACTCCCAAGTCAAGTGACAGTTCCAGCCTACATGCACAAAATGTGGAAAAAATCATATCTCAAGAGATTATGCATGTCCAGCCAGAGGCACGTGGTGTAATATATGTATGAAATATGGACTTTTTGCAGCTGTTTGCTGCACCAAAGCAGTCAGGGAGTTGACTCATATCACGGACAACCAAGAGCCATTGTTTCTGATATCTATTACTTGTGATGACATAGATAGAGCCTTGCAAATCTGCGGATATCCGCCTCCACGGACGTGGTTGTATTGTTTACCATCTTTGCTGATTGTGGATCGTATGCAGCTCCAAATTTTTGTATCCGTGCAGGGCTCTAACAGTGACATGGGTGCGAATGCAGATGCATGTAAACGGTGGAGTGTGGATTGCGGGTCGGATAGAAGTTAATTATCACAGATTCGGATCGGATGTGGATCCAAATTTTTGTATGCACGTAGGGCTCTAGACATAGAACCTAACCTGGAGAGTGAAATTAAATATTCACGGCAAGACTATTGACTTTTAAATTGACTCAGGAGCTGATGTCACAGTCATCTTAGAAGGGACTTACAATCACATTCAATCCCTCTCAGAGCTGAAGTCACAGCTTGACACAGCTTTGACTAGCCTTGGAAGTATACTGAATGGCATGGATCAGCTCACCACAGAAACAACTTACAAAGATAAAAGCTTTGCATTCTGAGTGGATGTGATCAAAGGATCAAAGACTAACAACTTCTCAGCTGTAGCATGGCAGCCATGATGGGTCCGGTGAGAGAGGTGGAATAACTTGATAGAGGATTTGGTGATATTGGACTTCTGAGAGGTTATCCAGTACAAATCAACTTAAGAAACAATGCTGAACCATACAGTGTACAAACACCCACACCAGAGAGACCTTGGAAGAGACTAATTGCAGATTTATGCAGATTCAGAGAACATCACTACCTGGTTATCGTGGTCTATTTTCCCAGATTTATAGAAATAATGTACTTGAAAGACATAACATGTCCCAGTGTTATTGAGAAACTGAAGTGCACTTTTGCTCACTTCGGTGATCCCAGAACAACTGGTGATGGGCAACGGACCACAGTTCACTGCAGCAGAATTTAAGTCACTCTGAATGAAATATGATTTTGATCATATTACTAGCAGCCCACATTACCCACAAGCAAATGGAGAGGCTGAGAGAGCTGTTACAGACTGCTAAGAAAATCCTACAGCAGAAAGATTGATTCCTTGCTCTTCTGAGTTACAGATCCACACCAATAACAGCAGCTGGATATAGACCTGCTGATGGGAAGACAACTCGGCACTACTGTTCCACCTTTGGAAAAGAACCTATTTCCAAAGTGGCCTGACATGAGGAGAGTAGCCAAATCAGATAAAAAGGCTACAAGAGCTTCTGAACATATTTTTACAACAGACATCACTCAGAGAATTGCCAAGTCTAGAACCTGGTGACCATGTTCATGTAAAAATGGATGGAGAAAAAGGATGGACAACTTCAGCTGTCGTCGTATACAAAAAATAAATAAATTCTGCACCAATATAATATGTGATCATGACTGACGGTGGAGAGTTCAAAAGAAACCATTGACATCTACAATTTGTTCCTCAGAAAGAACGATCAACAGATAAAACGCTACCGATGGCAGATTCAAGAACAAGAAGATGGCAAACCGACCAAGGCCAGTCTTTGCAAGTAATGGACAGCCAGATGCTGAACTGTACTACGCTGTTCAGCCCTTAGGAGGCACTGTGTAAAATACCTTATTTAAATGCACCTCAGTCATACCTGGCAGAGCATTAAAGGATCTAATGATGAACACATCTGGTGTGTATAAGCAAGCTCTGTAACCAGTTCATATCTGGTACAGAAGAACATGACAGATGCAAAGTAATTGATCATATGTGCCTGGAAGGGAAGGGTGTGGTGCCTTCAGCTGCATCTTGTATTTCATACTTCATGGTCCAGATCAAGCTTTGGAATCTGGGCTGCTGTCAGTGCTGCATTAGGAACTGAATTGGATGAAGAGCTCCCAGCAGAAGCAGGAACTGGAGGACCAGTCAGGAGAACTAAAATCCATGTGCATTTCAGTCTCAGACATAGCCAGGAAATATAGCAAATGTTGGAGCATTCTTAACAGGCATGGCCTACCAATATTCAACCTTGGCCTAACCTATTTTCTAGGGCAGGGGTTCTCAAACGTCATTGCACCTCGACCCCCTTCTGACAACAAAAATTACTACACGACCCCAGGAGGGGGGACTGAAGCCTGAGCCCACCCAAGCCACACTGTCCAAGGGCTTCAACTCCAGGCAGGGGGCCTGTAACCTGAGCTCTGAAGCCCTCGAGTTTCGGCTTTGGCCCTGAGCGGTGGGGCTTGGGCGTCAGCAAGTCTAAGCCAGTCCTGGCAACCTCATTAAAATGTGGTGGTGACCCACTTTGGGGTCCTGACCCACAGTTTGAGAACCACTGTTCTAGGGTCTACATATGCTCTTCCAGGGCCTGCCCACTGCTTTGCACAACCCATTCAAACTCTCTGGCAGCAGCCACCAAATGTCAGAGGTGAACAACTGCTATCAGCTGCACCACGCTGCCGAGAAAGACAGTCAGAAGGAGCGTCCTATGTCTCACCTTTCTGCTACTGCCCCTGGTGACTACTAGGCCCTTTTGCCTAGTGGCACCTTCTCCAGGGCTGTGCTTTTTTCTCTTCTCTTAAATTTGACAGGGATAGTTAGGATGCAAGAATGCATAATAGAGACCATGTTCCCATACTCGGAGGGGTATGCAGAGATGTGTGGCTGGCTGTAACATCCCCAACCTGAGCGCAGTCCTCACAGGTGACTGCTTCTCGTGGCCCTGTGACCAGACAGAAATGGTGCCACACCAGGAGTTCTGTGGCTACTGCTGCTTCAGGACCCAATTCTAGCCTCATCTGGTCTCTGCTCTTTAGTGCTGCTCACTGTTTTATGTTTTGTTTTTCTTGCTTGTCTCTAGCTGTGTCACTCTGCCTCCTCCATGCACACATCCATCGAGCAAACTTTCAAAAGGCAGCTGGTGCAAGTTTGAAACTTGCCTTTCATGAGTAGTTGTATGCCGGTTTAAATGTCTCTGGAAGGAAAACTCAGGACAGGCGTGAGACTGGCTGAAGCAGATATTTTCCCAGAGGGGCACCTAGCTAAGCTTGTAATTGCAGACTGGTATTTTAGAGGTAGGGGAAATGAAACCTGATTGTACTGACATCTAGTGGAGTTAAAACATATTCACTGCTGGTCACAGTTGATGATAACCTAGACTTCACTTTATCCTCATTGTACATGTTGAGATTGTTGTTCATCAGAGGTGGGCAAACTACGGCCCGCAGGACCGTCCTGCCCGGCCCCTGAGCTCCCGGCTGGGGAGGCTAGCCCCTAGCCCCTTCCCCACTGTCCCCCCCCCACCCCTGCAGCTACGCCGCTGCACGGGCAGCGCTCTGGATGGCGGGCTTGCGCGCTGCTGCCGGGCAGTGCGGCAGCGTGTCTGGCTCCAGCCGGGCAGCGCGGCTGCCAGACATGCTGCTCTGAGCAGCATGGTAAGGGGCCCGGGGGTTGGATAAGGGGTGCAGGGGGTGACGGGGGGCAATCAGGGGACAGGGAGCAGGGAGTGGTTGGATGGGGCGGAGGTTCTGGGGGGCGGACAGGGGACGGGGGGGTTGGATAAGCGTGGGAGTCCCGGGGGGGCCTGTCAGGGGGCAGGGGTGTGGATAGGGGCCAGGGGATGGGGAACGGGGGGGGTTGGATAGGCGTGGGGTCAGATAGGCGTGGGGTCCCGGGGGGGCCTGGTCAGGGGGCGGGGATGTGGATAAGGGTCAGAGCAGTCAGGGGACTGAGAGCAGGGGGGTCGGATAGGGGGTGGGGTTCCGGGGGCGGTTAGGGATGGGGGGTCCCGGGAGGGGGCGGTTAGGGGACAAGGAGCAGGGCGGGTTAGATGGGTCGGGAATTCTGAGGGGGGCAGTCAGGGGGCAGGAAGAGGAAAGGGGTGGATAGGGGGAGGGGGCCAGGCTGTTTGGGGAGGCACAGCCTTCCCTACCCAGCCCTCCATACAGTTTTGCAACCCCAATGTGGCCCTCGGGCCAAAAAGTTTGCCCACCCCTGTTGTACATGATTCTCTTGCTGGAATTGAATGATTGAGTTTACTTAATTATAACGGAAAATGGATATTAGCTTGGAAGGATGTTGCATCAGTTGTTGTTGGTGCCACATGCTGTTTGCCATCTTTGTTTGCTTCTCCTTGTATTTGGGTATCAGGGTGTGGTGGGTTGACAGTGGCTTCCCCCAGAGGCTGTTGATGCTGGGCCTGCACAGTGACAGAGCTGACTAGATGTTGATTATTTTTTTATGTGGTGGTTGAATACCTAGACACTCCACCCACTCCAAAGAGATCTGCCTCCCTGTTCTAGGATTCCTTACTAACCCTGGCTATATCTTCCAGTCCCAACTCACTTCTACCTCAGTTTACCCCTTGTCCTTTTCAGCTGTGATCCTGGGTAGCAGATCCTTCCCCCACCACCCAAATCTGTACTCCTTTGTGTGCTGGGGCTTGTACCAGGGGATCCTGTCCTATGCACGGCCCACCTCAGAGCGGAGAGTGATGGGCCAACAGATGTTATTCCTCTCCCTTCCCAATATGGAGCAAGTCATTTAATGATACTTAGCACATACGTAGCATTTGTCATTTGATACCGTCCACAAACATCAAAGATACGATCCTACAAACCCTTACTGGCAGGTATAGTCCTTATCACCTGGCTAAGGACTACTCGCATAGATAAATCTTTGCAGGATTGTGCACTGGTTGCTGGAACCTCACAATACGGCGGTGAGTTCAGCTGGGTAAGTATTATTAGTCACATTTAGCAGATTAGGAAATTGATATTAGGGGACTGAGGTTAAGTGACTAGCCCAAAATCACACAGGACGTCAGTGTCTGAGTTGATACTCCAGTCTCCTGACTTGACTGTTGCCAAGGTGGTGTGGTCCTGTGGATATGGCAGTGGACTAGGAATCAGGAGACCTAGGTTTTGCTCCTGCCTATGCTACTGATCTGTGGCATTACCTCTGTCACTTCATTGTTCTCTCTGCCTCAGTTTCCCCTCCCACTCTGTGTCTTGTCTATTTAGATTGTAATTTCTCCAGGGGAGAGACTCCTTTTCTATTTACTGTACAGTGCTCAGATGATAAATGCTTTATTTTAAAGCTATGTAACCTCTTCCTGCTTTGTTTTCTCCATCTGTAAAGGGAAGATGATGATACTTTCCTGCCACACTCTTGCATTGTGTTAATTAATTTTTGTGAAACGTTTTGTGATCATCAAACAATAAGTATTTTGTAAAATATGATTATTACCAATTAATTTTTGAGGTCTTTTTCTTCTGGATGGCAGTCAGGCAGCACACCCATTATGCCGCTTATGAAAGCTATGAGCAGCAGAGAGAAAATAATAGAGCAGAATTCAGTTTTCAGATGATTTGATAAATAATAACAGCAGTCTCTCTTACCAATGTAGGTATACGGTTTTTATCAGCATGTTCTCTTTTTTAGAATTTAGCAAAGCTTAATGTGAGGTGGAAATAATAGATGTCTAAACATGTTTTGCTAAAAGGGGCAAGAGTAGCGATTAAGCAAGACTGCAAGATAGGTAAACAAAATTAAAGGACTGCACATTAGCTGTGCTTTTAAATCCAGAATGTGGCTAACTTAAGATCGGGAGGTTCTCAAACATCGTCCCTCAAAATAATCTGATAATACTGAACGGAACAGAGTGGAAAAAAAGGGACATTCTTACCTGAACACACAGAGATCGTTAAAGAGCTGATATGAACCTTTTATTTTTAATATTTTATTTATGCTACATAAAATCCTGAGCAGAAGAAAAGAAATGAATGACTTTTTCAGTGTCCTTGCCTCCCTGTTGATATTTTAATGTAACTGTTGTTTTTATTCTGATATATTCAGAGTTTTTTGTGTGTGGCTCTTTACAGGAATATGAGACAATAAGGAGTTTACAATATACAGGTCAAATGATCCCATCAGCTTCCATGAGCAGAGAGGGATGGGATCCCATGCTTCCCATTTGGAGGGAGGGGATGGCCGCAGAGGAAGTGGAAGTCCTCCCTTTAGGTCATTGTCTCCATCTTGCCCTGGCTGCACAACAGCCCTTCCGTGGTTCTGCTTAGTCAGGGGTTGTCTCGACTACTGGGGTAAGTCAACCTAAGTTACACTACTCCAGCTATGTGAATAACTTAGCTGGAGTCGACGTAGTCTAGGTCGACTTACCACAGTGTCTTCACTGCGCAGTGTCAACGGTAGATGCTCTCCCATCGACTTACCTTAATCTTCTCGGGGAGCTGGAATACCGGGGTTGACTGGAGAGCGCTCTGCCGTTGATTTAGCGGGTCTTCACTAGACCCGCTAAATCGACCCCGGCTGCATCGATTGCAGCAGCGTCGATCTCCCCATAGTGAAGACCAGCCCTCAGTGTCCCTTGCTCAGACTGGTCCTAAAGTCACAATCCAGCCCAAAACGTGTGGTCAGAGAGGTTAAATGAGAATATCATTACAAATCATGCTCAATAAGCCTTTCTCTCCATTTTTGTAGCTTGAACCAGGAAGACCCTTACCGTCCCCTAATGATCTCAAAAGAAAGATACTCATAAAAAACAAGAGGCTGAAACCTGAAGTGGAAAAAAGTAAGTAAAGTTCATTGAACCTTTAAATTAATACAAAAGTATGCACTTTAGATAACTGAATAATGTTTTACCAAACTTTCCAAAATGACGAATATACTGTATATTCACTATGCATGACATTTTGTTTTCACTTGTGTTTCATATCAATGGCAAAGTTTTGCCCTCTGTATAAATGTGTAGAAATTATAAATACTTATAACTTGAAATGGAATTCTGGGTCCTAATCTGTGCTGTCCATGCTAAAATGTAACACAGATGGAATCTGTCATAGAGCAGGTGTGCTGTCATTGTTGTGTTTTCCACACCTGCCAGGATGAACTAAAACTGGGAATGGAATTTCAGATGACTCTTCTTTTCTTGCCAATCCTGGTATTCTTCTGCCGTGCATGAATAATGATGTTGAGGGTATTAATGGTTCCTGCTATAGCCATACTGATTGGCCCTGGACCTTCTCCCATTGAAGACAGTGGCTAAACTCCCATTGACTTTAGGATTGTCTCATACGGTGCAACTTACAAGCACAATTCAGAAATAACATAAGAGACCTGTGCTATATTGAGGTAAAATTCCCATTCCAATATGGAATGTATCAGGCCATGAAAGTGATCAGCCATCTGTTCCCCAGGACTTGCCCGCGGCAGTAATGTGTTTGATCCAAAGGCTCTTGAAGTCACTGGGAAAGATGCCCCTGATCGTTTTCTTTTTTTTAATCCAGCATTGGTAATAACTGTTTTATCAAACTATCCCTAACAACAACGGGTCTCAAGTCCTTTTGTAAACCTTTGCTGCTGACAGCAGACCTGAGCCTAAGATAGGTACTGAGCGCCCACCACTCCTATTAAATTCAAGCCCCTGTCAGAATCAGGCCCTAGTTATTTAGCATTTTCTTCATGCCATTTGAGTTAAAATATTTAATTTTGGATACGAACCATTCGTTATGTGGCTAACGTTTATTTTCTCTCTGTTTTTTAAATAGAACAGCTGGAGGCACTGAAAAGTATGATGGAGGCTGGGGAAACAGCTGCTCCTGTCAATATCCTCGAGGATGACAACGAAGAAGAAATAGAAAGCGGTGAGGATTTTAAACGTGATGCTTCTCGGGAGTTGCTTGCATGCTGGAAAAGGAGGGAGGAGTACAGATAGACATTTGCTACTGAACCTCAGTAGAAGCCTTTTAATATAACTGCTTCACTTTAACGTGACCTATCCTCACAAGCACTGTCTTTATAGGCGTCCCACTTGTAACATAAACTCATAAGTACGTTTTTTGGTTAGATTTTAAATAGTGACTCTGTGAACTTGAAGCCCATGTAAAATTAAATAAATGAAAATGTTACAAAGCAAATTAGACCATTAGCAAAAGAAGTTGCATTAACCCTTTCATGTCTCATCTTTCGTTGCACCGGCTGTGCTGCTGTTGCCCTTGGAACATGGTTCTGCTTTTGATCCCATTTATTTTGTTGATTTGTTTCTTTGCAATTTATCTCTGGGATAACCCTTTGAGATATCTGGGGTGAGGGGTTGCATGCAGGGGTAGGATAACACAACAGCAAAAATACACCGAGGAAAAGCAGAGATTAAAAGTGCTGCAGAAGAAGAAAAGCAGAATGAAGTTGTGAAGATATGTATTGCAGTTGCATCTGCATAGATGGTCAAGTCACGTGTGTTAGTCTAAGTAGTTGAGGGAAGAGCATTGTGCAAACTCCAGGAGGAAACCACGGAGCCCTTGCCAGTGAATGCAGTCTACAGGAATGTGACCTACATCTTTTAACTGGCCTCAGAGTCAAAGGGGGGAGTCACAAAGACCCTACTTATAGCCATTAACAGCCCATCTGATCACTCTCCATCTGAAGTGATTGAGCTTTACCTATAGAAGTTGTGGAAGGTCAAAACCAAGGTGCTGGACTATTATATTTGTTATGAGATAGGCATTGACTGCATTTGTATATTGTTCTTTCTACCTAGTTCACCACCTGGAGGTGATATCAGGAATTGTCCAAACAGGGTACCTTGAGCTAAAATAATGGGTCAGTGGATTAAACACATCTTTAAACGGGGGCGGGGGGGAGAGGGGGCAGCAGGAGCAGGGGGAGATAGAAATGGTAGACTAGGATCTGCACCATTTTTATACAATTATGGGAGCTGATTTGTATTTCTTCCTCAGCTAAATTATGCTTTCTATGCAAAAAATCCTGCCAATATCCCTTGAAACTGCTAGTTTAATTTTTCAATTCATTTATAAGCACTACAAAAGATGCTATTTCTCCCTTGTACTGAACATCAATCTTTTCTAACGTATTGGTTTGAATTTGTCCATCTATGTATTAATATCTCTCTTCACACATACAATATGTTGCCAATGCAGTCAGGAAATGCTTTGGATCCACATCATTCCTGGCTGGCCAAGGCCAGTGGGGGAAATACTGGGTCCATTGCTTATGGGATTGTCATTGCCTCTCTTAGAGAGGGCAAACTGTTTTGTTGCTTTGAAGGAAGGAATAGTGCAGCCTTTAGTCATGTGTTCATTGCTGGATGCTGGCAATCTAGCTAATCATTGATGAGTACTGAATCTTCTCTTCCCTTCTTGGGCACGTTTAGTGGAGACGATTGTGGTAAGACAATTTTCACAGTATCTAGATGCTGCTAATCTCCTTGACCCCGTCAATCTGGGTAGAGAGTTATCTTTGACAAAGAGACGGCATTGGTCATGCTTGTCAGTGGTCTCCTTCTAGTGATCGATGAAGACTAGGTCCTTGTCTACACTACCGCTTAAGTCGATGTAAGTTATGTCACTCAGGGGTGTAAAAAACCCACCCTCCTGAGCAACATAACTGACTTAGGGTGGTGTAGACACCGTGTTATGTCGGCAGGATACGCTCCCCCATTGACGTAGCTTCCGCCCCTCATTGAGGTGGGAAAACTCTCCCATTGACTTATTACGTCTTCACCAGACCCACTAAATCGACACCGCTGCATTGATCACAGCGGCGCCAATTTAGCCCCGTAGTGAAGACAAGCCCTAGGTGTCTATGCTGGTATTATTAGACCTATCGGCTGTCTTCATTACCATAGATCACAAGATGGTGTTGATTTGCCTGCAGACTCTGGTGGGAGTAGAGGCAACTGCTGTTCGCTGGTTCCATTCCTTTCTCTTGGAGAGATCTCAATGGGTAGCTGTGGACAATTGCTCCTCTTTCGAAGCTCTCAAAAGCAGGGTGCTGTAAAGTGCCATTCCGTCACCTAGTCTGTTCAACCTGTATCTGGGGCTGATCGGAGGGTTAGTAACAAGGTGTTGGGTGTGTTGTCCTCAGTATGCTAATGACACCCAACTGTGTGTGTGTCTGTCTCATCCAATTTGAACGATGTGGTTCAGTGTCTCAGCCCGTGTCTAGCTGAGTTTGGAGCATGGATCAGAGTGAGCCAGTTGAAGTTCAGCCCAGACAAGACTGAGGCAATGAGGCTGCCAGGGAAAGCAGCCGGAGGAGATGGCAGAGGTAATATCCGCCTCTTACGCTGAGGCAGTACATCTGCCATTAGTTACTTGTGCTTGCAACTCAGAGGTGATCCTAGACCATCAGCTGCTGTGTGACATTCATATTACAGCAGTGACCCAATCAACTTTTACCATCTGCACCTGGCTAGGAGGCTGCAAACCTCTCCTTTTGGATGTGGACCTTGTCGGTGTTATCTGTTTTTGTTACCTCGCGATTGGACTGTTACAATGCACTCTACACGGGGCTGCACCTTTAAATCATTTGGAGACTGAAGGTGGTGCAGAGCGCTGTGGCTCACTTATTCAGCAGGGCATCGTGTGGGGAGATTCTGACATCAGGATCTGCACTGGCTGCCCATTGGTCTCTAGGTTGAGTTTATGGTGTTGGATTATGACCACCTGTAAAGTCCTAATGTCCCAGGACTGGCCCATGTGAGGGACCATCTCTCTCCCCATGCCACAGCTGCCTTCAGCAAGGTGCTTGAGCTAGACTCCCCTTGTTATAAAAGGGAAGGGCTGGCTGTCCATGCATTCTCTGTGAGAGGTCGGGAGTCTGGAACTTGCTCCCTCACTCAGTCTGAAGTATCCCAGATCTGGTGACCTGCCAGCCGTGCTGCAAAAGACACCTGTTCAGCAGGGTTTTGGAGTGGGCTGATGGTGCCGAAGGGGTGGAAAGAATGTTCTGTAACTGGCTGGCTGGGATCCTGTTGAAATGATTGCTGTAATGCTGCTGGGATTTTACTGTATTAGTAATTATGTGTTAGGGCACTTAGAGGCTTGGATAGGCATCTTTTTTAATTATTTAAATCTAAATAGATAAATATATTTTAAAATAGTCTGTACATAAGAGACCATATTGGCTCCTCTGAAGCCACTAACAATTTGTTAAAATAAATGAAAGAGATCCATGTATAAAAGAAAATGGATAAGAGGAAACAGAATGGGTGTAGGCATACGAGAACTCAGATGGTGGCACCAAAACTTTTGAATTTATAATTAAAGAGCCCTGGCTTCATTTCATTTTTGTTACCCCAGGTCCATGATTTTTACATTTTCCTATGACAAATGCATGAATTTTCCAAGAATATGCTAAACTTATCTCTCAGTATCTACGTCTGATCCACAGATTTATTCTTACACACCGTTTTACTGAATGGAGGTTAGTATTTACTAGATAAAAGCTAGTAAACCGAGGAATCTGAGGGACTTATTTTAAACACCCACTACTTGTTGGAAATCTTTCTACCTCCTTAGTTTTACTCGCTTTAGAAAATGAGCCAATTCACAGTGGTGTGATGGTTTTTGAACTGGTTCCCCAAAAATATCTGCTGCTATGTTTTTCATGCTCATTTCTTTCTTTTTCATTGTTGTATAGCTGATCAAGAAGAAGAAGCCCATCCAGAATTAAAATTTGGAACTGAGCTTTCTGCAGATGACTTGAGTCAAAAAGAAGCTGTTGCCAATAGTGTCAAAAAGGTAGGCTTGCTTCTGACCTATATTCTGTTGGAAGATTTTTCCCTGGAGATAGCTGGGAAAGACCATTCATTTTGCGGAAGGATCACACTATGTGTTAGTTATAGGAGAAAATACAGTATGAATCACACAGGGATTTTTCTAGCAGAACTGCTGACACTTAAATTCGTGGTGATATAAAATTTAACAAGCCAAAACCTGCTGTGCTTATTCAAGCAAAACTCCTATTGTAGCAAATGAGAGCTATATCTGGGAAATCACTGTGCACAGACTACAGGTTTTGGCCAAAAATTGTTAGACACGGCTGCAAACAGTTTCCTGCCTACATAACAGTACCTGGCTGTGAATTGTGTGTCACAATTTAAGAGCCGTACTATGGGGTGAATATCAGCTTCGTCGCTCCGGAACTACTCCTGGCTTGGCCTCAGCCCATTCCTTACCTCAGTTATTTTTGTGCCGGGCTCTCTGAACAGCAGACACCCATTACCACTTGCTGTGCATTTATGAAACAGTGAAATAGATCAGGTAGCAGGAAAATACCCGCAGTTGGAGAGGATAACACTGGGATCTCAGAGGGCAGACTGGGCACAAGGTCTTATTCTTCCACTGGTACTTATCATAGAATATTAGAGTTGGAAGGGACCTCCTGGAGGTCATCTAGTCCAACCTCCGGCTCAAAGCAGGACCAACCCCAACTAAATCATCCCAGCCAGGGCTTTGTCAAGCCAGGTCTTAAAAACCTCTACGGATGGAGATTCCACCACCTTATCGTAGTGGTTTGACATTCTGTACTTGGTAAGCGAACATTACTTGGTATAGCACTTGTCCATAACTAGATACAGTACAGTGGAATTGAAAATTAAGCTATGCTGGCTCCCAAGGCACCAGAGCCTGCTTGCCACTGAGGTACCGTAGCATTCTCCTCTGTCATTGAAGCATTCTGCCCTTCTTCTCTCCTGCATGGCTTGCTGTGGCTCGTTTGAGATAAAAATATCGATTGGTGAAGTTCTCCTTGCTGTACAAACTGCCTTTCACAATCTGTCTCTCAACAGCAGTATCACAAATAATCAGAGCTGCCTGCTTGCTTTGTCTTTGATTCAGCATCCTTGCTTCTTCAGGACCTTTTACAGAGCTTCCGAATGAACTGCAGATTTTCCTTCTCTGCTGTAGGGCTGTTTTGCTGATTGAACTAGCAGGCCCCCAACTGCCCTATTGGTTACTCCGAGTGGTCAGCCATCCTCTGCATGAGCCCCTCTTTGCTCCCTCATTGATCTATGGCTTGACAGTAAATCGTAATTCTCTCTGTACATACATTGAGAGCCAAGTCACTATTTTCCTGTCTAAGGTTCTCAGTGGTAGCGGCTTATAATTGAAGGAAGAAAGCACAGGGAGTCAGTGAATGGAACTCTAGTGGCAAGTAACCTTGCAGTCTCTTGGGGCAGATAGAAGCATTCGTCCACATTTGGACATTTACAGCACGTAGCACAGAGCAGCTGCAATCCTTGTATCTTCAAATGCCCTCAAAGTCTGGACACCCTGAATATAGGATGGCAAATGATCTTTCATGTGTGCGCACTCTCTCTCAATCTCTCCCCACGAACTTTTGGCCATTCCCCGCATGATACTCCTATTACCAATACTAGCAGCTGTATCGTTCCACCCCTTTTGAATTTGAAAGATACTGCAAACCTTTGAGAGTTAAATGATAGATGAACCATATAATCAATTGGAAGGGGATATACTTTTTGCCAAATGCATTAACCATTTGAGGGTTTTCTTTTATAACTAGGAGTGTTTCATATTGCAATTTCTTTGGGTAATGTATATATATTTTTTCCTTAGGCTCTGGAAGATTCTGAACAAGAAAACAATAAAAAGGTGACACATAGGATGTTATGTAGTTTCTATTATATTTCTTTATATATAAACATTTTTATCTACAATACATTCATAATTGTATAACTATTTTACACTCTATTTCTTTGCACCTTGTGGCTCCTTTCTCCTTGTAATGATGGCCAATAAATTGCAGTTCCATCTCCCCCACTTCCCTTATTCACAGGATTTTGGGGGAAATCAGTGGGATAATACTAATGGGGGAAAAACAGGGATGCATCACCTGCCCTCACTTAGAAATATCTGATCCCAGTAGAAACAACTACACCCCAATCTCACGTGCCTGGGAACGTGATTCCTTAAAACGGATTGAGAGAAATCACACCAACTTTTTTCCAACTCCCTTCATCCTGCTCCACTTTATTTATCTCTCTTTCTCTTTGTTTTTTCTTTTTCTTTCCCTTGGGATTTGTGCATTTATCTTCCTCCAAGAATATCTTCTGTTAGTCTCCCTCCCTTCCTCCCTCCTCCTACTTGTCTCCATGCATTTCTTCCTTTCTGTCATTTAAAGCCGTTCCTGACCACACTTTGTTTCAGTCTCCTCTGCTTTTTAGGGGGGTTCTGCTTCTTTTCTTGAGATGCGGGTCTACAGGGATCCTGATTTTTTTTTCATCCTTAACTCACTCCAGCACCCTACAAAGGCCATGTGTTGTGGTAACCATTCCTTCAGCTCAGAGAGGATGGCTGTAAATGACAGCCCATCCTCTTATTCCCAAATCCTACAATCCTGTTTTAAAAGCCTAGATCCACTGCTGCGGATATTGCAATGAGAGTCAGACCTTTTAGTCTACAAATTATGTGTAAGTGAATATATTAAAGTTAATAATCAGTAGATTGCCTTTGTACATCCTCAACTAGGAGGACTCTTGTGTCATTAGAGTATTGTATGGTTATAGTCCTGGGGCCCTGTTCTCCTGTAGTAGGATACAAACTCTCATTGATTTCCATCCCACTGCATTTTTTCATTTATACACTTTAGGACCAAGGTTGTGAAAAGTGACTAGTGATTTTGGGTGGCCAGCTTTGGACACCTTGAAAGGGCCTGATTTTCAGAGGATAGGTGCTCATCATTTGCTGAAAATCAGGTTTCCTTAAAATGTCTCAAATTGGCCTCCCACAAATTGAGACATCCAAAATTACTAATCAAGTCTGAAAAATCATGGCCTGCAGATCTAAAGAAGTTTGTTTTAATTTGTAGTCAGCAGACTGGTAAAAATTAACCTGATAACAAAAAATGCATGATGATAAAGTCATATTCTGCACTGCTACAGAATGTCAATGTTAGTGTTTTACATGTCAAGAGCTCAATCTTGCAAGCCCCTCTGCATGTGGAACACTCATTGACTTTCCCGTGGACCGCTTGTGGGATCAGGCCCTGTTAACAATGGTAAAATAAAGTATTGGTCTGGTTATATGGACTATGGAAAATTTAATTTAAGTGTGAATGCAAACCAGACAACATGGGCTTCACCATGGTCACTCAACTCCCTCAGGCAATCAGTGACTGGCAGGTAATGCCCTTCCTTGTCAGCCTAAGAGGTTGTCTACACTGTAGAGACAACCGATGCCAATAAGACAGGGCGTTATCCCACAGCATTGTTCAGTCCCCTTTGACTTTTTTTTTAATCAATGTCCTGGATTCTAATTTGTTTTACTAACATCTTATAATATTGCTCACTAATTCGGAGATCAAACCTCATACATGATGCCCATTAACATTGAGTGTTCTGCATATATCAATAACGGAATAGACCCTAACTGTAGCATTGAGGTTCCAAATTTTTTGTGTAATTATGTGTCTATTTTAATTTCTGAAACTAGAGGCATAATTTTTACGTCGTGTTGAAAATTCCAACAAGTGCAAAAAAAAAAAATGATTAGTGGATATACTTTTAAATGTGCTTTCAGGGTATAGTAACTGTTGAAGATGAACAAGCATGGATGGCCTCTTACAAATATGTGGGTGCTACAACCAATATACATCCATATTTATCAACAATGATCAACTATGCTCAGCCCGTAAAGTTTCAAGGTTTCCATGTAGCAGAAGGTAACATAAAAGGTTGAATGAAACAACAGTATTTGTCTTCTTACTTCTACTTAGTTTCGTGTAATGATTCTTATATCCAATTTGGTATTTTTAGAATCGGTTTAAAATTCTTGTTGTAGTTTACTTAACTCCATTTGTATGGTATTTACAGAACACTTACCTGGAATATAGAATTAACTTGTTATTCCATTTGTCATCCACAGGGAGGCACTGAATTATTAGGAGTATGTTAACTTAACATTTTATACCTCATTGCAAAGAATAGATCATGTACTGTAGATCTACTGCTTTTTTCTTTTTCAGTAACGTAGGATAAATGTGATTGTCACAAAGGTCAACAGTTTGCTTATTGTGATATGTTTAGGGTATTATATATATATATATATATTATATATATATATATATTATATATATATATAATACCCTAAAACATGTACCATATTACTTTCTAGTATCTAGTTATATCACTCATGCTCTTTACGTAATTGAAGTGTTTTCATAAATATAAAAGCCACGTTTTGATGGCTCACAAGAATGGTCTTATAGAGAAGAGAATGACAAATAAGAAAACATCCGTTAAGATTATGTCAAATGTAATTTGGTTCTGTAAAATGGCAGGTAGTAGAAAAACAGAGAGATCTATGTTACTGCATTACATAGTATTCATTGCATGGTTTTGTATTTTGCTCCGTTTTATACTCAGTATTTTAAAATGGATTTTACTTTTTATTGTTCTAGAACGCAATATTCATTACAATATGTCCTCTTTTAATGAATCAGTTGGACTAGGGTATTTGAAGACGCATGCAATTGAATTTGTGAAGTATCCTTCTATTAAAAGTAGAAATACCGAATACCAGTTCTGTTTTTGGTTAGCCAGTAGACGTCTGTCCTATATACAAGAATCATTTAGTTCTAATTTTACAATATATTGTCCACGCGGAAGGATACATCATTATAAGAAATAATCATGGTATGAGTAAATGATCTTAAGTCTCTATGTTGTTTTTATTTTGTTTTCCTTAACGTGTTACATAGTTATAATAAACGACAAATGAGTCGAATATACCCCAAGGGAGGCCGAGTGGATTCCAGTAATTACATGCCTCAAATTTTCTGGAACGCTGGCTGCCAGATGGTCTCACTGAACTTTCAGACCCCAGGTAGGCAGTGATGTCCAGTGAACCTAAATTCCAGAGAAAGGCTTGGGCAGGAACACTCAGACAGATGCCACAGACTTCCTCCTGGCATTTTTTGAGGAAACAGACATATGGCTAAACAGTATGATGATGTGTATGGAATCATGGAAGCATAAGACAAGGAAGAATTGTTTTGAAAAATGCATGGAAGAAAATTCAGTCTCCTTTTATTTGCAAATTTAATTAGCAAGACACTTTAGGCTCTGAAATAAATGTAATAGTGATATAATTTTTACTTATAAAATAATCACCCTCTTCACAAAAGTCCTATCTTTGCAACAACCAAATGTACAGCTTCCATAGAGAACATTACATTGGAGGAACACACCGGATAACATAGTAAATAATAATAATTACATGTCAGCTATATTTCTAGACCAGTTAGCAATTACTGGCAAATCTCATTGTTAGCACGGGGAAATGGGATCGGACTTGGGGGGAGGGATAGCTCAGTGGTTTGAGCATTGGCCTGCTAAACCCAGGGTTGTGAGTTCAATCCTTGAGGGGGCCATTTAGGGATTTGGGGCAAAAATCTGTCTGGGGATTGGTCCTGCTTTGAGCAGGGGTTGGACTAGATGACCTCCTGAGGTCCCTTCTAACCCTGATATTCTATGATTCTATGTGAGCCACTTAGGCTGGTGACAGGCAGACAGATTGGGAGTTTACATGGTTCTCTCCTATGCTGAGGGATAGCTGGTTTACCCTTTTGGCGGGGGGGAAAACACATAATTATTAGTTTTTGCACTGAATCAAGAAAAATATTTGGCTGTACATGCCAGACCAATTTTTCCAGTGTCATCTTCTAACCTAAAGGGCTATTATTCTTATTTTTTCCCTTTGGTGATGTGCTCAGTGCCTCAGAAAGTCCTAATGATCATATCCATTTTTCCTCTGCGACTCCTCTTCCACAAAGCTCTGCATCACTGCCATCATTGACTTCTAGCTGAGAGAGACTAGAGAGAGCTGCACTGAGACATATAAGTGTTGCTTGTAAATCAGTCCGGAAGGGGACACAGTGTGGGGGTAAAGGAAGCAGTGCAAATTTCATCCTTCTCCCCGGGTCTGCACCCATCCCCTCACAGAATTCTCAGCCCTTTGTGTTGTAAATGATTACTATGGCGGGGGGGCGGGGGCAGGAAAGCAGCATTGCTCTGTTAAGTGTTCTGTCAGAAGGCCACGCTAAGAGCCTGGAGGATAGGTGAGGGAATGGAAGTCAGCCCACTAAATAGACTTTGGAAGGCTGATGTATTAAGCATGGGTGCTGCCAAGTAAGGAAATTGCTAGTATGTGTGCATTCAAAATCCCATACTTTTATGTTGTGGAGGCAATTTAGTTTTGTTTCTTATGTGCATTCTGGGAACTCTGTGGGCGAAAGGAGGCCAGAGTTATCACGAAAAATAGGAGGGAAGTTCTTCATAGGCCAAGTGTGTGATTGGAAATTTCAAGGAAAATTTTGTGTTAGTAAATTTTAGGTTTTGTTTTTGTTTTTTAAATGTATTTACTGGCTGTGTCTGTGGATATATGTGCAGTATGTGACAGGAGGAGACGAGTAAGATGAAAAGGGAAAGTCTATAAAGCAGTGGTCCATCCAGTTATAATGTATGGTGCTGAGAATTGGGCAGCAAAGAAGACACATGAGCAAATGATCTGCTCTACGGAAATGCAAATGTTGGGATCTATGAGTGGTGTAAGCAAGAAAGACCATTTGAGGAATGTATATGTTAGAGACATGCACAAAGTAACATCCATAATCAAAAAAATGAGGGAGTGCAGGCTCAGATGGCTTGGTCATGTAAAGCACAATTTTGACAAATATGTGGGTAAGAATCCAACAGATTAAGATTGAAGACAACTGACAGTGAGGCCGACCCAGTAAGGTAGGATTTCATAAAGGAAGACCTATTAGCATGTGATGTGATAGACTATATGGCATTGAACAGAGGACTTTGGAGGAGAGGACTTGTAAGACCCATTTGATGTGATTAACACAAAGAAGATCTGTGGATAGGCGCTCTATAAATAAATTGAATAATATTCAGACTTTTTAATAAGCATCTGAGCTGAAAATAGTTCCTGTAGTCTCCGGGGCCCCGATCCTGTAAACTGATCCATGCAGGCAAACCCTTGTGCTCATGTAGAGTCCCAGTGACTTGCAGGATCAGGGCCTAACACTTTTGTAACTATAGTCTATTTTTTTTATGCACATTAGATTTTAGCCTGGTGGATAAAGAAAGACTTTGCCATAGTAAAGAAATCCAAAGTCTTCTAGTTGAGTGTGTAGAAATCACCTTAAGTTAAAGTGGTTATCCGTGGGCAAAAAAGTGTGCATCATATTTCCCTTTGTAAAGAAGTTTGCTCTACATCTGCCTTATTCACAGAGACAAGATATTAAATTATTTTTGTCTCTTGACAGATTTAGCAATGCAATTGAATCAGGGAAAATTTGAATATAATGGATCGTGCGGGTGAGTAAAGTTATTTAAACTATTTTCACTATGTATCAGAGCACCATACTATATTTTTTATAAAACTTTGTCACTTCTAATTATGTGTTACAAATGAAAAATTGTCTGCTAGGTATAGAATAGAAATGAGCAGAATTCCTGGGGTTGATTTATGCTTGCAAAGTAGTGTGGTTAATATACTTTTCAGCCACACTCAATTTTATGAAATGAAATAGAAGAGACTTTGTGTGACAAATTATAAAGATCACGAAACAAGTTTAGGCTCAAAATTAGGTGAAGGTTTCTAATCATCAGAGGAGTGACTTTCTGGAACAGCCTTTCAAGGAGAACAGTGGGGGCAAAAAACCTAACTGGCTTCAAGACTGAGTCTGATAAGTTTATGGGGGGGATGGTATAATGGGATTGCCTACAATGGCATGTGGCCCATTGGGAACTGCCAGTAGCAAAAATCCCCAATGGCTGGAGACGGGACACTAGATGGGGAGGGCTCTGAGTTACTACAGAGAATTATTTCCCAGGTCTCTGGCTGGTCTTGAATGACTGTGAAAATAAGACAATTGTTTTAGTAATAGGATTTTTGGTATTCACTACTGTAATTGTCACTATAAGATTTATATATTCATTTATCTGGTATCCTGCATGCACGTTCAGCGGTAGAGAGAATTTGCATACATCAGCCTTTTTATTTGGTGGTTAGTTGTAATTCATTTGCTGTAGTGCACTTGTTATAGCCACGAAATGTTCAATATCTGTAAAAGTAGGTGATTTTACTGGTGATGTCTAATTCTGGATACTAGTGCATCCAGAAAGAGTTTGTATTAACCTAGTGGATGAAGTTTAGAAAAGGTTTTCATCTATAAAATGCGGGTAATACTATCTCCTTTCCCTCACCTGTTGACTGTCTTGTCTATCTGGTTTCTGAGGAAAGGACTGTCTCTTACGATGTGACTGGGGCCCCATTTTGTTAGGGAAGGTACAAACTTGGTTGAGTCCTCCAGCCACTATCACAATACAAATAATGAATAATAAAAAATTGAAGAAAGCAGCATGTAGTATTGTACTAAAGCAGTGAACAAAAATAAAATACAAAGCATGGGAATGTGTCTGGTGATTTCCCAGGAAATGGTCACGTGTCTCAGTCAAGCTTAAAACCAGTTTGTTTTTCCAAAATGGAGCAGTTGTGACCTTCTCAACAGCAACGAAAAAAGGTGGCTTAGGAGCGGACTGAAATCCGATAAACCCAAGTCGATGCTTCCATGCTGCTCCTTTCGTATTTTTAAAACATGCTTTACTTTCAAAAGAAATTTTCAAACAAAAAATTACCCCTGCATCAGTCATTGGCTTGAACGGTTCTGTGTGCCTCTCTGACATCTAAGAGTACGTCTATACTTACCTCTGGGTTCGGCGGTAAGCAATCGATCTTCTGGGATCGATTTATCGTGTCTTGTCTAGACGCGATAAATCGATCCCGGAAGTGCTCGCCGTCGACACCGGTACTCCTGCTCCGCGAGAGGAGTACGCGGAGTCGACGGGGGAGCCTGCCTGCCGCGTGTGGACCCGCGGTAAGTACCTTGTAGTTCGAACTAAGATACTTCGACT